AGGTAATTCTTTTTAAAAGACCTTCCACCAGCAAAAAGATTATGACTCATCACAGAAGACTGGAACTGAGCCCGCAATATCTCTGAGGCAGGACTTACATTCTTGTTGTAGAAAAAATCCACAGAAAATGAAAAGATGCCATAAGGAGGCATTAACTTGTTGTCTTTCAGACACAACTACATCAGAGATAACGATTTCTAAAACATTTTCCTTGGAAAATGAATGCACTTTTTAATAAAATGGGAACATACCATTCTGTAATTCTTTTCTCTGAGCTGCACAGCCGGTGTTAATGAATAATTTGTGGCATAACTTTCACTGGCTCTAAAGTGCTCTGTTGCGTGGCTAATGTCAGGATGCTTGGAGCAGAGGTAAGTGTGCAAACAGCTGAGGGAGGTAACCAAGGGCATTAATGGTCTCACCCAGCACCCAGCTCAGAGGTGTCATTGAGGACACGTTCTCACCTCAGCCTCAGTTTGTTTTGCCTCAGGCCTGTCTCAGGGTCAGGAAGCTGCTGCTGTAACTGTCAGCTTCCCATCTTCCCAGAATTGCATCCAAGAGTCAGGACAGGCCATTTCTCCTCTCACATCTCAGATTTGTCAGGGAGGAGTGCATTTCTCGCAGCCAGGGCCAATCGCTGCCCAGCCCAGGGGAGGAGCCCGCAGCCAGGGCCATTCGTTGCCCAGCCCAGGGTAAAGCCCGCAGACAGAGCCATTCGCTGCCCAGCCCAGGGGAAGAGCCTTTTATTCCTCCCCCGAAACCCCCCACCCCATCTTCCCAGCGCTCTCGGGCCAGTTGGGCAGAGGCTTACCAGGTCCTTTCTCCTGCGGGCTCCCTGGCTGATCGCCTGCAACCCACGCAGCGCCCTGGTGCTGGGGCGCCTGGAGGGCTGGGGAACCCCGCGCTGTCACAGCGGGTCGTGGCGAGGCACACTCGCGTGCACACGCTGTCTGCCTCCGCGCACAGTCATGGGCACTGAGTGTGTTGATCTCACACACCGGCCCGCGAGTGTTTTTCCGGAGACGGACCTAGAAGCAGTTGGCTTCAGGGGACCCCATGTTAGTAATTTACAGGGAAAATGAGGAATTTTTCATAGAAATCCCGCTTGCTCTGCCCTTGTTAAGGAGGGGCTGGCAGTGGCCTTTGTCCTCTGGTCATGCAGGGCTCTCTTGTCCTATCCGGGCCACAAAGATCTTTCTGGATGCCCCCTAACCCTCCCTTTTTTCTTTAAAGATGGAAGGTCGGTTAATACCTTAGAGAGTCAGATGTGAGTGGCTTAAAGGGCAAACAAGAGAATTCTATAAGTACGCATTTCAAATTAAACATGTGAGGTGCCTTATTTGCAATTCTGTTGAATATTGTATATTTTTATCTGACATGGATGATTTCCAGGGGAGGCGAATTTTGGTTAGCTTACCGACTGACTCTGCCTCCTGACTTTGAAATATATCAAACTCTCCCACTAGTCGTTCAAAGACTATCTTCCCTACTAGGTTCTTGGGTTCAAAGGCATTTTAAGAATTACCTCCTATTCAGCATTTAAGACTCCAAGTATTATCTGTTTTGTTGCCTTTGGTAACCAGGTGCAGGCGATGGTACCACGCAGAAAACACTCAGATCCATGACTTCATGCGCTCAGGTAAAGCCCTGTCCTTGGCCTTGTGTGCAGCCCTGGGTGACACACCCATGTTTCCCTGGATGCCCTGAAACTTCAGGGTCAAAAAGAAATCCAGGGGCAGGGAGGGAAAATTCTACCCCAAGGAGTGCTCACCTGGGAGGCCCAGCAGTAGAGACAGCAGCAGGCAAGGAGGAGGGCAGGGCCAGGAGGCAGGGATGGGCATCCTGGAGGCCTGAGTGGCCTGCTGTGTCCAAGTGTGTGCCCGGAGGACCCGGACTCTCTGCTCTGTGAGAGGAGTGAGGCCCCAGCTGTGTGGTATAAGAGGAAGCGCCTAGGAAGGGGTGCAAGGCTGTGACACAGTAGCCAGCCTCTATATTCTAAATAGTTCCTGCCTCTATATTCTAAATAGTTCCTGATTGTGAAATAATCAGTCAGGGAAGCAACCACAGGGTGAGCAGTTACTCAACTTAGTTTTCAGAGGGACTTGGACATGCCTCCAGGGAGTAGTCCTCCCCCCACCCCCATTCCTGGGGCCTCTGCTTTCCTTTGGCCCCTCAGCCCATCTGAGGTCTTCATGGTGATGCCCCCTTGGGGGGCCCAGGACAAGAAGGGTGTGTGGTGTGGACTGTGTGCCAAACTCCCAAGCCCAGGATCCTACTCAGCTGGAGGATGGAAGAGGGTTCACCAGAGCCTGGTCAGCGTTGGGATGGAACCAGGTCCTAAATGACCTTCTATTCCAACCACTTACTGATGGGACTGGTAAAACTCTATGCAAAAGCACAGTGTGGTGTGTGCCTCCTTGCAACAAAAGACATAATTTCCTCACATCTTTCCGGAAAGCACATGTATTATATGACCACATTTATACATCCAGGCATGTATCTCAGAGAAATGCAATTTATGTCCACTCCAAATGCTGTGAGCAAAATAAATCCTACTTTAGAATTTTCTCTTTTAGCAACTTTCAAATATACAACTCAGTATTGCTAACTGTAGTCACCATGTTGGATATTATATCCTCAAAAAGTATTTATCTTATAACTAGAAGCTTGTTCATTTGACCACCTTGACCTATTCCCCACCGAATGTGCAGCCTCTCACATCCACCAATCTTTTCTCTGTGTCTATTAGTTTCCCCCCACCCCCCAGGTTCCACAAATAACTGAAATCATACAGTATTTCTTTCTCTGCCTGATTTATCACATTGCATCATGTGCTGAAATTCCATTTATGTTGTTGCAAATGGCAGCATTTCCTTGTTTCTCTGGGTGAATAATATTCCATTACGTATATACATTTTCTTATGCATTCACCCACTGATGGACACTTACATTACTTGCTTGGCTTGTATATTGTAAATAATGGGGCGATGAACATGGGGTTGCAGATTCCTCTTCATGGTAGTGATTTCATTTTCTTTGGATGTAGACCTGGGGGTGGAAGGGCTGGGTCATATGAAGGTTCTATTAATTTTTTGAGGCCCCTTTATACTGTTTTCCATGGTGGCTGCACCAAACCTCTAATTGAATGAATCTCATGTCTTTTTTTTTTAGTTTCTGGACCCTCTTTTCTGCTTCATCTAATCTGCTGTTGAACCCTTCTATTGAATTCTCCAGTTCAGTGATAGATTTCTGTTTGGTACATTCTCATATTTTTAAAAAACATATATTTTATTATTGATAGCATTACAGATAGCTCCCAATTCCCCTCCTTTACCCCCCTCCCCACCTCCACCCCCCCAGCGCTTACCCACCCACCCCAGGTCTTTATTACCCTACTGCCTGTGTCCATGGGCCATGCATGTAAGTATATAAGATCTTTAGTTCTCACATTTTGTATCTCTTTGTTGAAATTCTCGCATTGTGCAGCCTTGTTCTCTTAGAGAGGTGAGCATCGTTATGAGCATTTATAAAACTACCAGGTAAATATTAAGGTGTATTTCGGGAGTTTTATTTAATTCTTTGGGGTGGTGTTTGGTTCACGTTCCTCCATGTCCTCATGGTCCTTGACTCTCCGTGTTGGTTTCTGTGTGTGAGATAAAAGAGCGCCTCTTCCCATCTTGGTGGCCTGCTCTGTTGCAGAAGACGAGCCTTGTCATTCAGCCCTGTTCTAGCACTTGGCTGTCTCTCCAAACTTCGTGATTATCCAAACTGCCTTCTTTGTTCTCTGTTGCTCCGAATACCTGAGGCGCCATTTCAGTGTCCGGAGGGGAGGAATTCAGTCTGCACCTAGTTGCAGGCTGATGGGAAGCTGGATCCTCAGGCAGCAGCGGTTAAGTATGAATGTAGACCTCTATCAGGAAAGGCTGGGAGGTGGGAGCTAAGGCTCTTGGGAAGAGCCAGGGAAGAACTGGCTTTTTGTTTTCTACGATCCCGTGGGCCCCACTAACACAAGCCCCACTGGCCGCCAGAGCCAGGAGCTCAAGGGGAGCGTCCCCTGAGCAGCAGCCGCAAGTCAGGGCTCTCACCCTGTGCACAAGCTGCTCTCAGGGAGGCACCAGCCACCTGGGGCCACAGAGGGAGCATGTGGACCTGACGCCCTCTCAGCTCCCTGGCTCTGGAGAGGATGGTGGGCCCCTGACGTGTGTTAGATGAGAAGCTGACCCTCAGCTGCAGCCTTTATGAGAAGCAAATAGGCCTCTTTCAGGGAAAGACTGGGCGCTGGGCATTTCTCTCTGCTGCCTCCTGGTGAGACCTGGGGGTTAGCGACAGGGAATCCTCACAGGCCACTGAGAACTGCTGCTTTTCTGTCATCCTTGGACCTTGTGGACTCAAGTCCTGTTGGCTCTCAGACATACTTTATTTGGAGGCTCATCCCACACGGGGAAGTTTAAAATTGGGGGTGCTCAATGTTGGGTCTGAATCCCACTCCTCAAGGAGAAGCTGGGAGTTGTGCGTCACCCCCGATTGTATGTCACTGTGCCAGGTGTGGGGTTTATGGAGAGATTGTGTCAGGTAACAGCCTGAGGTTGTCTCATCTTTTTTATTTGCTTAAGATGTGATTTTGGTGTGTGTGTCCAAGGTCTGGGAGTTGCTCAGCTAGTTTCTGGGTTTCTTTCTCAGGGATTGTGCATTTAGTAGCTGCAGTTTCAGTAATTCTGTGGGCAAAGGTGAGGTCAGGTGTCTCCTAAGTCAGTATATTGAACCAGATTGGTTTTGCTTTAAAGAAAAAGGACCTTATTTTTCTCAGGTCATGATGTAGCAACACAGTCAATGAGTTCGATGCCCAGCTCACAGAGAAGCCTAGTATGAGGCAAGAGCGTTTCATAGAGAAAAGATGTATTCGTCCAGCTGCCAAACCAGGAGACAGAGACAGGACTCAGATCCATCTCCTCCCATGCCCTAGACTACAGACTCAGAGCAAATTTAATGAGAGGGAGAAATTTGCATATGTGTTCATTATAATCAGGGGTTTTGATTGGACCATGTTGAAACTAAGTCACCTAAGGGAAGGAATGGGAAAGGTGATAGAAGGTATGAAGGCGTTCCTAGAGGGTGGGGTCAGATTGGTTGAGATCTAGGTCCCCAGCGAAGTGAAAATTCCTGAGCCCCCTGCATCTGCACACAGTTTCTGGCAAAGGGCAAATGTTGGTTTCGGCCATCCATCGGGGTTGGTGGAGTCATTAATTGGCTTTCTGCACCTTTGCATGGCTCTGGGACCAGTCTGACCCGGTGGTCCATAGGCACTGTGGGGGGTCTTGCTGTTCTCTTCTGAAAACAACAACAACAACTGTTAGGTGTGGTTTAGTATTAGGGATTGGTTTTCATTACATTAGGGTTTGTTCCAGTTTCTGCCCATGCTAGCAAGCGTGTGCCCAACTCTGAAGCAAATGTGGATCTTGCTTCTTCCAATAGATTAGTGGATGCAGGTGCCAGACTAAAAGTCGGGTAACTTTCCCCAGAAAAGTCTGAGAACGTGTTCAGGCAGCCAGGCCCCTGGAAAAGCTTTCGGTGTGATTACTTCACCGAGCTGGAAAACACGGAGGGTGAAAGTTCGTCAATGAGCAAAGGAAGAAAGCGTCTGTATCACACACAGTCTTGTTCCAGACCCTGTGTGCGCTCATAGACTGCTCTCTCCTCTCTAGCCCCACAATTCTTTGGGGTAGCATGATTCCCATTTTACAGGGGAGGAATTTGGCTCAGAGAGTGTTAGTGAGTTGCTCAAACTCACGTAGCTGGTATGTGTTTTCCAGTATCTGAACCCACGTTTTTATGCCTATAAGACCTCAGAGGGAACTTCTCCACTGCGATTTGTCTAAAGGACTTTGAGCACATCTCACTCAGTGTCTGGTCTTAATGAGTTGTCTCGTCCAGAGATTCTACACTTAGTCATTCCAGGTAAAAACTTTTTTGTAAAGCAATTATATACTATATTTATCAAGAAAAATAATTTTCAGCCCTGGCCAGTATTTCTCAGTGGTTAGAGTGTCGGCCTGAGCACCGAAGGGTCTTGGGTTCTATTTCTGGTCAAATACATGTACCTGGACTTCAGATTTAATCCCTGGCCCTGAGTGGGGCTTGAGGCAACCAATTGGTGTGTCTCTCTCACATTGATCTCTTTCTCTCTCTCTCCCTCTCTTTCTATTCTTCCCTCCTTTTTTTTCTTTCACTCTCTCTAAAAAAAATCAATGGAAAAAAATATCCTCTGGTGAGGATTAACAAAAAAAAAGAAAATAAAAAGAAAGAAAAATAATTTTCATATCAGCTACCAGTTAATGTAAAGGCCATTCCACAGAAGAAAGGGTATTTTAATACCAAGAAAACAGAAAGAAAATACTTAATTTCTTTATTTATTCAAGCTATATTGAGTACCTATTATGAAAAATTACTTAATATCTCTATACATAATCCTAAACAGTGATAATTTGGAATTGTGTGTGTGTGTGTGTGTGTGAGTGTGTGTACGTGTGTGTGTTTTGAGAGGAACTTTTTTTTTACAATACATGAAAAAAAACCTGAGAAAATCTACTGAGACAGGCATGAAGAGTGAGAGTGTGTGACATTTGAATGAAGATCCTCTTGCCTCTTCTTCCTTCAGCTCAACAAGAACAACCTCAGACTGGCACAGCCAGGACACGGGGCTGCCCCCTGCCCCAGCTCTCAGTTGAAATATTTCAGGAATCCTCAACTTACCTGAAAGCACTGTACCTTAGCTACATAACATCCTTAAAGGGCAACCACAAAGAGTTCTTAAAGGCACACCCATTATTTAACCAATGGCAAAGTTAATGTGAGTAGGAAACTATCAAATTGCAGAACTTGGTCATAGTATTGCTTTCTCTTCCTCCAGCTTCCAGGTCAGTGGTGACTCCTGAAGGTGTGATTGCACTTGAGGTCACCGTCTCTTCACTGCCCTCAATTCCTAGCATCCCGTCTCCCACTCCATCCCATCTGAGTCATGTGTACGGGATCACGGAGCTGCGATAATTTGGGTTCTGTCTGTGTGTCTGAGAGGAGCCTGTGTGAAGACCCAGCTCTGGGGCATCAGGGGCCACGAGAAGGAGCAGGAGCCTGTGGGCAGCAGTTCTGGGTGGGGAGGCATTTGGAGCAGGGTCCACAGAAGCTTTTAGTCAACTTTTTTCTTGGGCTGGGCCCTTCGTGGAAAGAAGGAGGAAGAAAAACTGAGAGTGGCGTGTAACAGGGGAGAAAGGAAGGAGCTGTGGGAAATGTGTCCGCCTGTAATTACCTGTTCAACATTCAAGAAAAGCTCCCTGCGTGTCTCCTATGTCCTGGGCTGTCTTCCTCCAGGAATGCCAGTCATGAGAGGACACACGGCCTCTGGCATCGGACTGTGCCCCTAGACCTCCTCTCAGGTCCTGGTCCTCCTTCCCCATCCCTCCCCTCTGTCACACAGAGCGTCAGTCTGGGAATAGCCATCAGAGCAGCTGACTGGCACTTGTCAACATTACTGTGAATGTGGGTTCCTTCTGCCCAAGGATCCCCGGCCATCAAGTCAACTAGATGTGGTCTCCAAGGGAACCGCCCACCTAGTTGGTCTTGTTCGGTTTCCTCTGCCCACTTCTTCTGCAGGTGCCCTGAGACTCTGTGAACACCTTTCAAAAACCACCGAGTCAGCCTCCTACAGGACGCCAGACATTTCCTGGGAGGTAGGAATCTCTTAAAGGCACCTGCAAGTCTCCTGCCAGTATTAATAGAGGGGTGTCACCTTGTCTAAATTCCACCTGGGCCCTCACCGTGTGTACCCTGTGGGCTGACCGCTCCTGTTGACCTGCTCCTCTGGGACAGACGTTAGCCTGCCCTCCCTGTCCCACAACTTACAGTCGGGCTCTCCGCTGCCTGTGGACATAGATGGCAGAGACACCAACCATCAGCAGCATCTTGCAGCCTAGGAGGCCGAGGAGGACAGCCAAGAAGACCTGAGCAGACAGTGCTGGGCCTGCAATTCAAGGGACAGGGGAAGCCATTAGAGGAGACCATTCCAGAGTCTTCTACTCACTGCATCTGAGGCTACCTGCACCCATGACCACTCTGAACCCATGGGCTCCCGCTTGAGGCAGCAATCAGGTAAAGGGTTCTTTATCCTCAGTGACCCCGTGAGTAGGCTGCCGGAGTCGTCCTCCTTGAGGGAGGTGGTGGGCAGAATGTGTACTCAGTGACCCATAGTGTGGCGCCTGATGTACTGACTTGGTCCTCACACCCTATGGGGCAGGTAGTATTACTCTCATTCTGATGAGGAAACTGAGGCTCAGAGAGTTAACAAGGGCTCAGATTAGTGCAGATTCAAAGCTAGAAAAATACATCCTTTTTTCCATCAAATGACACTGAGCCTTTTCCTTATTGATGAGGACAAGTCCAACCCCATGGAGACATAGTAATGAAAGTGAACAGGGAATCAGAGGAGTAGAGACAGGCTTCTCAGTGAGAGGGTCGCACGGCAGACCTGGATGGCGCCCCAGACAAGGCTGGGTGACCCCATGTTCTCAGGAGCTGAGGGAGAACCCACAGTGGCCTGGCCTCACGAGACCAGCTGCCTCAAAAGCTCCTGGTGGCTCAAGGAAATGGGGTCACAAGCTTGGGAGAGACTCCACCGCCACCCAGCCCACCCTGAACCAGTCCCCATGTCAGCAGATATCCTTCTCTTGGACACAGAAATGCGGATCTGCAGGTTTACAACAAGAAGTTTTTGTTTTTAAAATTAAAAAAATAAGGAAATTACAATGGTTTCTCATAAATAAATAATCCTTGTAAGGGCACTGGAGGCCGCGCCATATTTCCTGTGGGCGTTGGAGAACGGCAATCCTCAACTGAGAAGCTCCCTGGGACACCCCCTCAGTGGACGAGTGTTCAATGGCACGTTTGCACCGCCCCCTAGTGGGCAGACCGTGGCAGAGGTCTGGCTGGACTGGGAGCCTAAAGGCTCAGCACCCTCCCCTCCATTTGCACAGCTCTCACAGCTATTCTTCTGGCCAGGTCTCTGTAGAGGTAATACATAGGGCTTAAGAATTTTAAAAGGAGTCGGCAAATGGTCATCATAACAACTGTAAGATTGGATCGCTGTTGCTGGAACATCAGTAATTTGGAGAAAAACAGTGAAAAGCTAAGCGTGATTAATTACAAGGTAAAAGTTAAGTGTGAGCCACCAGATGGCATTGCAGATTCTTTTCTTCAAGAGGCAGAGGGCAGAAAAAGCTGAGATGTGGGCCAAGGACATCATTCTAGGCATAGCAGAGCTAGAGAGGAGGTTGAGTTCTCCAGGTCAATGGGCCTGCTCAGCAAGGGTAGCGCCTGATGAAGAAAGAAGGGACCCTGAGAGAGGGACCTATGGGCTATTGCGCTCACAATCTTCTGTCCCCTTCTGGCTGCTGAGGACAATGGCAGCAGCACAGCTACTGGTCTCCAAATAGGGCCTCTCCAAACCCAAGGAAAAACACAAAAGGGAAGTTAAATTCTACACACAACTGGCTCTCCCTGTTACTAGAAAAGAAAAATGAGAAAACATCAAAACAGTTAAGAGTCAAAACAGAAAAACCAGCAAATCCTAGTGCACACTCTGCCAGGAGGCTGCCATCCCACCCTCACTCAGCCACCAGGAGGAGGGCAGCTGGCAAAGGCGCCTGAGGGCTATTTGGGAACATCACCACCACCAACACTCAATGCACCCTGCATCTGACACATTGAGAAGTGTCCGCAGGTCAGAGCACAGGTCACTGGAAAAGGTTAAAGTGTGCCTGTTCGAGAGGTTGGCTCCGAATCCCCATAGTCTGTGAATATGTTACCTTTCCTGGAAGAAGGAACTAGTCTACTGATTAAGTTAAGAATTGAAATGACATTGTCTTGGATTTTCCAAGCAGAGCCATTTTCACACACAAAGATCTGACTCAGTGCAATCGGCAGTGAGGAGAGTCAGAGAAGGAGCTGTGATGACAGAAGCAGAGCTCAGAGTGAGGTGGCCCTCAGCCCAGGAGTGTGGGCAATCTCTGGGGGCTGGAAAAGGTGAGGAAATGGATTCTCTGCTAAAGCCAGAAGGAATCCAGTCCTGCCAACCCATATTAGACTTCTGATCTCTGGAGATGTAAGACAATAAACTTGTGTTGTTTTAAGGCACTGAATGTGTGCTAATGTATTTCAGTGGTCAGAGGAACCTCATACAAGGAGGCAGGGTCGTTTTGTTTTATATATACACTAGAGGCCCGGTGCACAAAAATTTGTGCACTCGGGGGGGGGGGGTCCCCTCAGCCCGGCCTGTGCCCTCTTGCAGTCTGGGACCCCTCTGGAGATAACGACCTGCTGGCTTAGGCCTGCTCCCGGGTGGCAGAGGGCAGGCCCAATTCCTAGGTGCAGCCCCTGGTCAGGCTCAGAGCAAGGCTGATTGGGGAGTTGGGGCGCCGCCCCATCATGCACAGAGCAGGGCGGATCGGGAGGTTGTGATGCCACCCTCAGTCACGCTCAGGGTAGGGCCAATTGGGGGGTTGTGGCGCCACCCCCTGTCACTCACAGAGCAGGGCCCATCAGGGAGGTTGGGGCTCCGTACCCTGTCACGCACAGAGCAGGGTTGATCAGGGGGTTGGGGAGCTCCCCCCTGTCATGCACAGAGCAGGGCCCATCAGGGGTTTGGGGAGCTCCTCCCTGTCACGCACAGAGCAGGGCCGATCAGGGGGTTGGGTGCCGCACTCTGTCACACTCAGGGCAGGGCCGATGGGGAGGTTATGGCTCTACCCCGTCACACACAGAGCAGGGCCCGTGGGGGGGGGGGTGGTTGGGGCGCCACCCTCTATCACCCACAGAGCAGGGCCGATCAGGGGGTTGGAGCACCTTCCCCTGTCACGAACAGAGCAGGGCGGATAGGGAGGTTGTGGCCCTGCCCCCTGTCACAGAGCCGCAGGGTGATCAGGGTGTTTGGTCGCTGCCCCATGTCACTCGGATCCCGGTGCCGGGAGGCCTCGCGGCTCCGCTGATCCCAGTGCTGGGAGGCATATTACCCTTTTACTATATAGGATAAAGGCCTGGTGCACGGGTGGGGGCCGGCTGGTTTGCCCTGAAGGGTGTCCTGGATCAGGGTGGGGGTCCCGCTTGGGTGCCTGGCCAGCCTGGGTGAAAGGCTGATGGCTGTTTGCAGCTGGTCACACCCCCTTCAGGGTGGGGGTCCCCACTGAGGCCTCGGCTGCTGAAAGCAGGTATCTGGTTTGTTTGAGTTCTATAATCAAAACACTGTTTCAACACCAGCTCTGAGATTCCTGCTGGCTGAAAGCAGGTTTTTGGGGTTTTGTTTAGCTTCTATATTTGTAACAATGTTTCTTAAACTGCAAGCTCAGAGGCTGGCAGCGGCAGGCGGGGAATGTTGGCTTCCTCCGTCACTGAAGCAAGCAAGCCTTATGTTCGCTTCAAGCTGTCTGGCTGCCGGCCGCCATCTTGGCTGGCAGTTAATTTGCATATCACCCTGATCAGCCAATGGGAAGGGTAGCGGAGGTGCGGCTAATTACCATGTTTCTCTTTTATTAGATAGGACTAGAGGCCTAGCGCATGAAATTTGTGCACTGGTAGGGGCCCTAGCGGCTTCTGGCGGGGTACTCCCTCCCTTCCCCCAGTAGCCCTACCCCCTTGTCAAACTTCTGGGCGTACTTTGGGTCGAGGGGAAAATTTGCATACTATGCTTTTACTATATAAGATTTCAATATGTTTTTATGTATTTTAGAGAGGAAGGGAGAGCAAGATAGAGAGAGAGAGATAGAAACATCTATAATGAGAGAGAATCATTGATTGGCTACCTCCTGTACACCCCCTATTGGGGATCGAGCCTGCAAACCAGTCATGTACCCTGACCAGGAATCCAACCATGACCTCTGGTTTATTGGTTGATGCTCAACCACTGAGCCACCGAGGCTGGGCAAGACAGGGACATTTTAAAAGAACAAATGAGCCCTGATTGGTTTGGCTCAGTGGATAGAGCGTCGGTCTGTGGACTGAAGGGTCCCAGGTTCAATTCCGGTTAAGGACATGTACCTTGGTTGTGGGCACATCCCCAGTAGGGGGTGTTCAGGAGGCAGCTGATCGATGTTTCTCTCTCATCGATGTTTTTAACTCTCTACCCCTCTCCCTTCCTCTCGGTAAAAAAACCAATAAAATATATTTTAAAAAAATAAAAGGACAAATGAGATGGAAAGAACAGGCACAATTTAAAGTGCACTCCTTCTGTGGGAAAGGGAAAAAAAGGAAAAAAAGTGCCTTGTGGCAAAGAAGTGTTGAAAAGAAAAGGAAATGGTGGGGAGGGAATTTAGAGTTCTAAAAGATTAAAAGAACTGAAAAATCTGAGAACTCTGAATATTTTTCCCACTATTGAAACCAAGCATACAGCATAAATCTGCATTAACATATGTGGATAATGCTATCCTGATGGAAGGGAGGTTCATTCACCTAGAAATATTGTAAAACAGCCCAGACCATGAAAATGATCAAAATGCTGTACATCCTCAAGCCAAGCCCATTGGCCAGGTCTGCAGTGGCTTGAACCACCAGACGCTGGGATAGGCTGTGGCATCCCAATGCAGAGGGTCACATGGGCATCTTGCACTTTGCTCCCGCTCATCAACCTAGACAAGACAAAAATCCATTTCCAGCCTCAGTGCTTAGCAGGTGTGCTGGGTCAGGCACGCTGAGAGCTGCAGGAAGTAATTAACAGCCATGGTCTGAGCCTCAGAAATGGACAGAAACTAAAATGCAAACCCAAGGTGGTCCAGACAAGATGCCAGAGACTCCCCTCTCCTGTTCTTCCTGTTCACGACAACTCTGACCCCTAGAGATAGCAGCTGGGACAAGCATAGGAGGGCTGTGAGAGGTGGAAGGAAAGGCTCTGGCTCAGGACCTGAGGACTGGAGGAGGAACCCTGGCATTAGGCATCATAGGTTGCACTGTCCTAACTCCCAAGGTCAAGGAGGCAACTCAGGTGTGGCATTAGAAGACACAAAATGTTTGAAATCAGTAATCTAACTTTCTACCCCAGGAAACCAGAAAAGGAAGAATGAAACCAACACACAGCAAATAGAATAAAAACATTATAGAGAAAGAATAAGTAAAATCAATGAAATGGAAGACAGAGAACTAATGGAGAAAATCAATAAAAGAAAAAGTAAGTTCTTTGAAAAGATCAACACAATGCAAAACTTCCAGCAAGCTTGATAAAGAATAAGAAAGACATAACACATTTCCAGTATCAGGAATGAAACATGATATCGCTACACATCGTATAGACATCAAAAGGATAATGAGGGAGTGTGATCACCAACTCTACAGGCAGACATTTGACAACTTCCTCAAAAAGCACAACGTACCACAATTCGCTTAATATGAAACGAATAATGTGTATAGCTCTAAAGCAGTGGTCAGCAAACTGCGGCTCGCGGGCCACATGCGGCTCTTTGGCCCCTTGAGTGTGGCCCTTCCACAAAATACCACGTGCACGTGCGCACGTACGGTGCGATTGAAACTTCTGTGGCCCAGAAGTCGGTTTTCGGCCTGGGCGAATCTATTTTGAGGAAGTACTGTTGATATTTGGCTCTGATGACTAATGAGTTTGCTGACCACTGAGATAGACGAAACAAGTATACAAGACGAGTGTGGATGAGAGAGTTGGAAGGGGTCGACCTCAGCGAACGTACCTCAATCAGATTGAGGACGTTTTTAGCAAAGGCCAGCATAGGAGTGCCCTAATTAAGTTAATAACAATGTACCTACCTATATAGTTTAAGTTTTAAAAATTTGGCTCTCAAAAGAAATTTCAATCGTTGTACTGTTGATATTTGGCTCTGTTGACTAATGAGTTTGCTGACCACTGCTCTAAAGTATTAAGGAAGTTGAATTACAATGGAAAATTCTCCCAAAGAATTTTGAAGGCCTGCATAGTTTCACAAGAAGATTTTACCAAGTGTTTATATTTGAATTGAAGCCAATTTTGGAACACAAAGAAACAGCTAAAGAAATTTGGGAGTTTCAGTATGTGCAATACTTTACATGATATTAGGGAATTAATCTTAATTTTATTGTGTGTGAAGGTATTGGTTTTGTAGAAAAACCAATGTCTTTAATCCTATGACAGCACAATTATGGACTTCACGTGTAACCAGATATGCACACACAACTAAGTTATGAGTGGACACATTTATGCAACTTCTATATATCTCTTCTTTTAAGGGAAATTGTCCTTTCCTTCTGTGTTTACTTGCCAGCAGGCAGGGACATGGACACTGGGTGGCCCAGCATGGACCCAGCAGATGAGGACAACAGCATAGGACCTGTTGGGAGGAATGCGGGCATTTGAAAGGTCTTCTAGAGTAAAGACTCTTAGAAAGCTGACCCAACCCCCTCCTGATGTTACATGAGGGAGAAATAAGACATGTTTTGTTCACAGAAAAGGGGACTCTCTAGGCCCATGGGAATGCCCAACTGAGCAGGAACATGTCCCTATCCTATACGTGTTCTATAGGCTGGTAGGCCCTGTCCTCTGGGACTCAGATTACCCCAATTAGTTTAGCCCAATTACTTGGTGTTATGACAAGCGGTCTTCACAACACCCCTCCATTGCTCCCGGAGTCCCTTCTGCAAAACTCCAAACTCCTAACGTGGGTGACGGAACAAAGATCTTAAAAGACTGGAATTTGCAACAAAGATCTTAAAGGACTGAAATGTGCATGTAGGAATTGTTCAGTGAGCAGTAGTAATGATTGCTGTTTCACTGTCATAAATAGGAGACTACGGAGGCCCATGCTGTGACCATTCAATGCCACCTGGGTGCCTGGTCCAGTTGAGAACAACAAGGATGGAATGGAGATGAGAATGGGGTTAGAAAGAACCGGAGGAGGCAGGGGCTGACATGGCCAATGAACGGGGTGACTGTCAGGTGAAGAAAGCAAGAGGCAGGACACTGTGACCAGGATGGTCTCCCGCCCTCCTTCTTTCTTTAATGTTTATTGATGTGAAAAGATCTATAAAGCATGTACCAAACTCTTACCAGTTTGACTATGGAGTGTGGGGTTTCCGGAGAGAGGCTCACATCAAAATGTCACTTTCTATCTATAGACTTCTAGGTTGTTCTGTAATAAGCATGAATTACTCCTTATAACAGTAAAAGTATAAAATTTATTCAGAGGTGGGTCAGTTAAAGTGGGGGACTCACCAGAGGGTTCATCTGGGTCCTTCTGGTGAGCCGAGGCCTCCACGATGACGATTTTGGTGACGGCCGGCTGCCCATCGTGCTCCACCTGGCAGGTGAGCACCGCATCCTCCCTGTGGGCAGACAGGTCCACGAGGAGCCAGCTGCTCCCACTGAAGGTCCCATCCTTGTTCTCTATGAGGGTCGGGGCCGTTTCTGTTCGGGATGTGTTCCCATTCTCCAGCCAGGTCAGCTGTAGGCGCTGGGGATAGAAGTTCTTCACCAGGCAGGTGACGTTCTGTTTCTCTGACACATTGTGCTGGGTAACCTCCAAGGTGGGCGGAACTGAAACAGCACAGGGCACAGCTCTGACCTCATGGGACACAGATCACCCACCACAGTAAGGGGATCTCAAAGGGCAGGTGCTCAGACACCGATGGTGCTCCTTCATATGAATGAAATCACTAAGCACAGGAGCCTGCACACAGTAGGTGCTCAGGGACTCGCAGCTCCTGTGAGAGTAATATGACTAAAGTAAACAAGCACAGCCTGCCATGAAGTTGAAATATAACTAGAAAAATAAATAAAATTGCCAAGCACATAGGAGCTTGGCTTCTAGTAGGTGCTCAGTTATTGGAGTTGCTATTGGTAAAGTAGATAAAACACCAAGTACAGTGGTGGGTGTTCACCTGCCAGCTGCCATTAAACATGGTGAGTGATGGGCACATCTAGGTGCCTGGTGAAGGGAAGGATTGTCAGAAATTAGATTCCAGGAAAAAAACTCTGGAGCAAAGAGCAGGGGGAGGAGCAGGCTGGGAGGACAGGGGCCAGGTGTGGCTTGGGCTGGGTGTGAGGGACATCTACCTCGGATGGCCTCAGACAAGTAGGCAGTCCCACGAAGAGGAGGGTCCCCCTGTAGGGTGTCGTGGGCCACCTGGCAGATGACCTTGGAGCGAACATCCCCCGGGGCCAGCCGTACCCTGGCTGTGCTGGAGACGCTGTAGGGAGGGCTGTCTCCCTCTGGGTCCACGGTGGTCTGGGAGGCTGGGAGCTCATTCCCATCCTTGAACCATTTCAGGACGATGTTTCTGGGGGAGAAGCCGTGGGACTTGCAGGTGAACCTCACTGTCTGCCCAGGAGGCGACCTGCCTGTGGGGCCCGATACCACAGGGCGAGAGGGTTTGGCTGTAAAAGGAACATAATGAACAATGAACATGACTGTGATTCTCACCACTAACCACAAGCATGTGGCACTGTCAAACCTTCTCGTATACTGTGTGTTATCCTTCTATTAATGCTGGGGGTGTCATTGTCCTCATCTTACATAGGAGGACACTCATGTTCCAGAGGTGAACTCTGAGTGAGGGGCAGGGCCAATGAGCAATTCCAGGCCTGCGTTCAAAGTCCACCTTTTTTCCCTCCAGATGATTTCCCACAGTCTGGGCCCAGGGACAGAGTTCCTGGCCAGTCTCATTTTTGTGCACTGGCTGTTCATAGCTGGTCTCTAATCCTTACAGACCCATGAATGGAGCGAAGATTATCTTCTTCATCAAGTGGGGAAACAGGACTTGGGGGAGACAGAGACTTGCCCAGAGCACACAGCTGTCGGGTGACAATACCGTGGCTCAGTGAGGGTCTGTCCTCTCAACAGGCTCATCTGAAACATTCTATAAAGGCAGATTGGATTATATCATCAATATTTGATTAATCAGTGATTTTATTGGTATTATATTATCCTACACAATTTCTCAGGTGAGGAGCTGCGGCCCAGCCAAGTTAACTGGGTCATGACTCTGACATAACTCCTTGATTTGGGGGTGCAACTCTGTGCTGGGTGATTCAGACAGAACACCTCAAATCCTTTCTACTCTCCTAAAAGGAGTCCATGATCATCACCATTTTAGAGATGGGAAAACTGAAACTGAGAGAAAGGAAGGGACTGTCCCTTCAGCCACTCCTGTGCCCCAGAGGTATTTCCTGTGGCCTCCCAGGTATTCACGTCCATCAGCAGAGCCAGTGCCCACCTTCAGGAGCCTGACCCTGACCACCACCTGCTCCAGGGAGGAGTGACCTCCAGTGCCCAGGCCGGGGCCCTGCAGCAACAAATGGGAGAAAGGGCTCCTGACAGTGAGTCCAGAGGATGAGCTCCTGCTCACTGGGGCCGCAGGGCCCTCTGGGAAATGCCCCCTCCTCACCCTCAGTCTGCAGAGACAGGGATGCTGCCCACGGCGGTGCTGGGGCTCAGCGACCCCTCTCTGCTCTGTCCAGGCCACTGAGCCAGGCGGCTCCTGCGGCTGCTCAGTGAGGAAAACACCACAAAGCAGGGAAAGGCCTCCTGGATGCCTCCACAGGCAGAGCAATGTCCTGTAGGAATAGTTTCAGGCCATATCATGGGGCATTTGAGGGTCTGTCTCATCTCAGTTGGAAACCTAGACCTGCCTCCACTGAGGATTCTTTTAAAAAAAATTTTTTTTCAGAGGAACATAAAAATGCACGATTCTAAGAAAAGGGTTGGAGCTTTCTCTACACTTTGACAAGCACAGTGTAGGTTGCAGCGAGCAGGGGCTTTGAGTTATTGCTGCTTGAGGTGTAAGTCTTAGTTCCCCTTCGTGCTTATTTGGGTTCCCTCTTTGAGCATCAGTGTCCTCATCTAATTAAGGGGCATCACATGGCCCTCCCTCTCAGCACTGGCTGTGGGAGTAAATGCCACCATGAAGACATGACCCCTAACTTCTCCCAGCTCCTGCTTTCTCAGCCAGGGCATCACCTGGGCAAGTAGCTCAGGAAGGGGAACGAGCTCTCTACCAGGAGGCAGCAGTTCTGAGTGGTGACCGAGCCACTGACACCTGTGATGGCCTTGGCAAGGGACACAGTCTGGTAACTTAGTAATACATGTAATTCAGGATAAGCCACCTTCCCTGTCTGTGTCCAGGAGTTGTGTGGAGACTTCGTTGCCACCATGTCTAGGAGGGGAATGTGGTAATACCCACACAAATTAAAATGCACGCACCCTGTGACCTAGCAATGCCACTTCCAGTGAGCGCCTCCCTCTGAGTAGGGTGACCCATGGACAAGGGTATCCTGTGTCACTGTGTGAATAGCCCAAGGCTGGGAACAACTCACATCCATCAACAGAAGACAGTGAATGAACGATGCTGTCTCCACAGGCTGGAGGGGAGGCAGCTGTTGAAGGAGGGGCAGCTCTAGGTGCTGATGTGGATGCTGGATTTGGGGCGATATGGCTGGAGGTAGGGAGAGGTTCCCCATCACCTGGGCCTCAAAGGGTGAGAGTGAGGGGCATGTGAAGCTCTGGGTATCAGTGAAAATAAGAGGTGCTGGTGTGCTGTACTGAACTTTAATTCATTGCCTGCATTCACCAGGCTTTTTGATGGATATAGTATCTATATCTGAAGCAGGAAAATGTTGGTAAAATCAGATGGGGTTCTGGAATAATCTCACTCACTGGCCGTGTGACTTTGGGCAAAGCCCTGTCACCTTTTGACCTCAGGTGCCCCTCTGTACTTGGGGAGTCAGGCTGGATGGTGTAAAGGTCCCTGCGTGCTCACAGTCCAGCATTCAGGATCCTGGGCCTCTGGTAAAACACCCTCAATGAGAACGGTGTTGCCTCAATGGGACGACCCCTAAGTCTCCCACATGGAGAGCCTCTTCCATGGGGGAGGAACATTCTGAGACCGCCCAACTCTGCTTGGAGGCTTCTTTACAGTGACTGGGATTCTGGAATAAAGGGGGGTCCCAGGCAGACCCACAGTGATTGCGCACTTCTGGGCATCTCCTCCCAGCGGGGCTGTCAGAGTGAACAGTGAGGCTGGGCCTCCCAGGATTTCCTTCTCCTGTGATGTTTCTGAGGCTGAGATAGAGCAGCACCTTCTCCACTCCCTGCCCTCAGTGAGTTTCTCCCACTGGAGGGAAGCGAACGAAGCTTCGAGGGGAAGAGCTGTTGCCTGCCTTGTTCTGCAGCTGCCTCAGCACCCAGCACAGAGTCTGGCTCAGAGCAGGTGCCCAGTGGGTGTCACTAAGGAGGAGCCTCAGCCACATTGAGGGGAGCACTCTCTGGAGGCTGGTGAGGTCTGGCCTTGTGATGGGCAAGTCTCTCAGCCCTTCAGTTCCCTCATCCCTGCAACCAAGGGGCTGACTGGATTGAAAGGCCAGGGCTGGGAGCCAGACAAGCAGGGGTTCCAGACTTTTCCCACCACTGACCAGCCGTGGTGGCTGAGCAAATAGCATGACATCTCCAGGCCTCAGCTTCCCTGATCTGCAGACGGTGAAATCAGACCATGAATCAGAGCAGGACTATAAGCACCCACCTCCGCACCTGACTCTTAGTTGTTCACAGAACAACAGGCATCTTTATTGACTGTGTCACAGGCCAGGGACAAAGGATCCCCCTGTACTCACCATTCACGCTGAGCCGAGTGCCTGCTCCAGACTTGAGCTCCATGTCATCACCAACTCCAATCCGGAACTTCACACAGTAGTAGGTTCCTGTGTCTGCTGGGGTGAGGTTACTGATGCGGATGGAAAAGTCCATGTTGTCTCTCCTGGTGACGTCTGCAACACTTGTTACTCGGGGCGAGTGGCCTCCTCTGAAACTGTAGATTAACTCCCGGCCTGGCCCTGTCCCTCTGAACCACAGGATGGGCCCCACGGGGGTCAGGGAGGTCACAGTGCAGCTCAGAGTGGCCGTCTCTCCAGCCCTGATGGACACTGACGTCTTAGACTGAATCACCTGCAGCTCCTCACCTGCCCCTCCTGGAGGGAAGCACAGAGCAGTTATTTATTCTCCATGTGGGAGCCTGTGGGTTCGGTCAGTATTTATCAACAACAGCTTTCATGGACTGAGTGCACACGCTGAGCAGTTCTTGAGCCCAGCACTTTGCATGTGTCATACCTGTAACCTCACAACCAACCTGTAATGTGAGCCTATTGCAAATGAGGACACTGAGGCCCAGAGAGGTTCAGTGATGTGGCAAAGAGTGGGTTTGAGCCCTGAGTCCTCTCTGGAAGTGTCATGGTTCCCCTAGTTTCCTGGCTGTCCACTTTCTGGCCTCATGAGGAGTCACTTCTGCAGTTCACCATTGGGTGGGACCCTGGCACAGCTTCAGATCACTAATTTGTGAGCAGAGATAGTGGCTGTGGTTTGTGGGATATGCACTTAACTGCAGGAAGCTGTATGGATCAACTTCAGCTTTCACGGAGACACACATGTCATGATGGGGTCAACTTCATCAGCCTGGGTACATGACATGATGTGCAGAGCCCCCAAGGCACAAGAACATGTCATTCAAATAAGAAGTAAAAGTGTTTTTTCCCTTATGCATAACTACATTCTATTAGTTTACTAATGCTGCTTTACAAATTACAAAAATGTATGTGTCTTAAAACAACAGAAATTGATTATGTTATAGCTCTGGAAGTCAGAAGTTCCATATTAATGTAATTGGGCCAATTTGTGGGTTTTAACTGAGCTGCATGTCATCTGGAAGCCCTGTCCTATGCTTTTCCAAAGTGTAGAGTTGCCCACATTCCTTTTCTCATGGTTCTCGTCTTCTTGTCATTCCGAGTTCTTGCTTCTGTTGTCACTTGTCCTTCTCTAACTTAGACTTTCCGCCATCTTTTATATAAGGACTCCTGTGGTTATACTGGGCCCACCTGGAATATCCTGTATAATAAAAGGCTACTATGCAAATAGACCAAATGGCGGAACAAATGAACAACTGAACAACCAGTTGCTATCACATGTGATGAGCACCAGGGGGTGCGTGTAGAACATGGCAGGTGTCAGCAGAAGGCAGCAGAATGCTGAACATGGCAGGCATTGGCCTTGGCGGGATGGTGGAGTAGGTGAGCAGGGCCACCAGACTAAGGCAGGACGCCGATCGCTGTCATTGGGGTGAGCCTCTGGTGGTTACTGAATATTCTTTGCTCCTGTGTGCTGCAGTTCTGCCCAGCACCACACCTGCTGCTGGCGCTGGCCCTGCTTGCACCCTCTGCTGGTGCTGGATCTGCCACTCACCACTCGCACTGGCTGCTGGTGCCTGGATTGCTCAGCACCGTCAGCAGATGCAAGCGGTGGATGCCGGCTCCTATTGCTTCTGAGGGCTTTTCCACCTCCCCCTGCTCCTGAGGGGTGATCAGGGCAGCAGCCATTGCACACATCTGCTGCTGGTGCTGGCCCAAATAGGTCCTCCAAATCGCTCTGTGCCGTCAGTGGGTGTGAGTGGGGCCGGCGCTGTCAGCGTGTGGGAGTGGCGGCGGTGGGAGTGGGGCTGCAGAGAGACAGGGAACTGGTGGCCACTGTGGAAGGGGCTGGGCAGGAGCGCAGAGAATGGGCTGAGACCTGCCCCTGTGCCCACTGCAGCTTTGCAGCCCACAGTTCCTTTCAAGGTGCACGAATTCATTCATTGGGCCCTTAGTCTAGGATAATCTTTCAAGATCAAGAGTCTTAAGTTCATCACTTCTCCTAGATCTCTTTTGTCATATAAAGTAATATATTCACAGGATCTGGGTATTACCCATAGACCTTTTTGGGGAGCCATTGTTCTGTGTGACACACACATGTTTCTTGACTATTAGAGAAGTCATTGCCATGACAGAAGCCTATGTCTGTGGCTTTGTCGCAAGGGTGAAGGACAGCACAGGTTACTGAATGTGGAAGAAGGACTATTCTAGCAGTGCACTGGGAAACGAGGTTGCAAATGAAACTAGAAATCAGTAACAAGAAGGAGAAATGAAATGATCACAAATACAAAGAAACCAAACAACACTTTCAGAATCAATAGTTCAAAGCAGAAATCACAAGGGAAAGTAGAGAAAATACTAAAGCAAATGAAAATGTAATCACAACATAACAAAGTGTATGAGATGCAGTGAAAGTGCTGGAGGGAAATTTAGAGTGTTAAGAGCATATATTTAAAAAGAGAAGAGTTCATGAATTAACTCTTAACTATTCACATTAATTTAATGATAGAAAAAGTAGGGGCCAATTAACCCAAATCTGGCAGAGGGAAAGAAAGAGAAAAGATTAGTTCACAGATATATCAAATGGAATTAGAAAAACAACTGAAAATGGACAAAACCCAGAGTGGTTCTTCAAAAGATTTAAAAAAAAAAGACAAATGTTTAACTGGATGGACAAGAAATACAGAGAGAAGATCAAATAACTAAAATCAGGAATAAACATAGGACATTATTGATTATTTCACAGAAATAAAATGGATGACAAAAGTGTACTATGAACTATTGTACATCAATATATTGGATACCCCAGATAAAATGGACAATTTCTAGAAGCACAAAACTTATTAAGAAGAAATTACAAATAAATAAATAATATGAATAGGCCTGTAACTGGCAAGGAGATTGAATTAACAATAAAAAATCAACCAATAAGGAAAAGCCCAGACTGTTTGGCTTCGCTGGTGAATTCCATTAAACATTTAAGAACTAACATTAATCCTCCTCAAACCCCACAAAAAAATTAAAATGGGAGAAAGGCTTTTTAACTTATTCAGAGTCATTCTGAGACTAACTATAAGTCACCCTTATCTGGATATCAAAGCCAGATGAAGGCTCTATAAGAAAACTACAGACCAATATCTTCCATAAATATCGATCCCATAATCTTCAACTAAACATAGCCAAACGAAATTCAACAGCAAAATAACAGAATGATATATTATGACCAACTGAGATTTATTTAAGAAATGTAAGGATGGTTCAGCATATGAAAGTCAAACAGTGTAATATATCACATTAACAGAATGAAGAAGAAAAAACCACATAAGCTTCTCATTTGATGCAGAAAAAGCATTTGACAAAAGTCAACATTTTTCATGATAAATACAACCAACAAATTAAAACATATGGAAACGTCCACAAAAGCTTTTCTTTTTCACATGAAAAATTCTTCACGATGCATAAATATTTTGTCACACAGGGTACAAAAATACTTTCACTTTTTGGTTGATTTCCAAGTTTAGAAAAAATGAGGAGCAAGGGCAGGGATGGGGTGCGTTGGGGCGAGTAAGCAAAATGGGCAGAGAAAGGATGCTCTGAACAGTTGTTGGCCCATCTAATGAGGAAGCGGAGGACCCTGGTTTGAAATGCAAAAGGAAACACTCTGTCTTTGTGGGTGGTCATTGGAGGTCAGTCTGGAAGTGTGTGGGGCGGTGGAACGGGCTGCAGGGTGCAGGGCTCAGGCCTCAGGGAAACAGGGCAGGTGTAGGGGAGGGGAACGGAAGAAGGACCAGGAATGATAAACCATTAAAGACCAGGACCTGTTGCCATGGTGACACAATGTGAGAACAAGCTGTACACTCACATATATACAAGTTTAAGTGTCTTAATTCATGCCAGAAAAGATGTAAAACCAAGTGCTTTGTTTCTCCGAGGTGAAGCTACAAAAGCAAGTCTGGACCGGGGATCAGGCCTTGCTGGGTCCCAGTGAGGCCTCAGAGGGGGCCTGGGTGACCAAGTGAGAAGGGCCGTGAAACCTCCCCTGAGGCTGTGGGCCAGACAGGGCTGAGGAAGAGAAGAGAAAGGAAACAGGAAGCAGGCCACTGAGTGAGGCTGAGAATCCACAGTCTTTGGAGGACCCAGGATCTCTGCACAGGCCGCCTGGAGGCAGTGGAGCTGGGGCAGCTCCCTCCCCAGTGTGGGGGCAGGAGCTTCCAGCTGTGGGAACAAGACTGAAGCACTAACATAACTGACGGAATTGCCATCCTTGCTGGGTAGAATCAGAGGAAGGGTCTCAGCGACCCTGAGCATGTGGGGAGGCTGGGTAGGTGAGTGCAGCAGGTGAGATAGCCCTCTGGGGACATGGGGACAGAGCTTCCCCATCAGGTCCTATGGGCCCCCTCCAATGAAGTGTGCTCTTTGGGAGAGGTGACGCTGCTGGGACTTGGTGTAGCCATGAGCTTGTTCTTGGCCATCTAGGTTTTGGCTTTGGCAAACTCAGGGTCTGCGGGTTCTCAGGATCAAAGGGAATTCCTTTCCATGCATCCTTGCTGCTTCTGCTCCTGCCTGGCTGACAGGGATCGCAAAACCAACAGGGTCTCGACGATCAGGGACCCTTCATACCCCTGCAATGCCTAACGAGTAGGCAGAGTTCTCTTTGTTTAATGTCCACAGGGAGACAGAACTGTATCCGGATCTCCTCCTCCAGGGAGCCTTCGGAGCCTGGTTCTGAGCCCGTGCAGGTGGTGGTAAGGGGCTCATTGTCTGGCTTCAGGCTGCTCACGGTGCTGTGTGTGGGGTGGGGTGGTGGTGAGGAGAGGAAGGGAATGTGGGGGGTGTGTGGGGTGCTGGCCCAGTGAGGAGGTGGCAGGGGGCCTGGTGAGGAGTGTGCTCTGCTGATGCCAGGCGGGTGTTAGGGGGGTGAGTGAGTGCCCATGAGAGGGGCAGCTGCCGTGTGGGGCTCAAATTTGGCAGTTGCAAGAGGCGGGGAGGGGGTGTGGTGAGGGAGGCACTGGGAACCCGAGCCCATCCAAAGTGGCCTCTGCCTCTGCCTTTTCCCTGCAGCCGCCCTTCCACAAGATCTTACATGAAAAACCCACAGCTAATATCTCATGTGATGTTGAGCGTGTGAAAGCTTCCCCCCTAATATCAGAACAAGACACAGGTATGCACTTTTGCCACAAATATTCAACACAATACTGGACGTTTCAGAAAAAGCAATTAGACAAGAAAAGTAAATAAAAGGCATTGGAAATGTAAAGGAAGAAGTAAATTTATCTGTGTTTCCACATGATATGAGTTTATATGTAGCAACTCTAAAGGTTTCACATACCCCCAAACTCTATTAGAGCTCATAAAGGATTCAGCAAATTTGTGGCATAAAAAACCAACACACGAAACTCAAGTGCATGTCTATACACTAGTGATGAACAATCCAAAAAAGAAATTCCATTTTCAATAGCAACAAGAGGCATAATATATGCAGGGGTAAATTTAAATATGGAGGTAAAAGGCTTGTACATTGAAAAGTACTAAACATTGCTGGGAGAAAGTAAAGACAAAAATAAATGGGAAAACATTTCTTGCTCATGGATTGAAAGACTTAATATTGTTGAGATCTCAGTACTACCTATGGCACTCTACAGATTCAAGGCAATTCCCATCAACATCTGCCCTTCCACACCCACCCACATCTGATCATAACCCTCTATCTCTATTTGCTGCTGTCCTGTTGCAATACACTTGTTTGTATGAATGCAATGACCTGTTATGTGCTCTAGTTGCTTCCTTCTATATCCTGTTGTAGACTATTCTCACCAAATGCTGGAATAATTTGAAACTAATGCCAGGTCATGTCCTTTCTTTCTTCAAAACCCGACAATGGCAACATTTCCCTCAAAGTAATAGCCTTAATCTTTGAACACAGCAAGAAGCTTCTAGTCTCAGGGCCTTTGCATGTGCTGTTTCCCATCAGGAGGTTCTGTATGATAAGCACATGGCTCACTCCCAACTTCTTTTAATGTTTGTTCAAACTTCCCCTTCTCAGTGAGGCCCACCCAGACAACACTTTTAAAAATACATCTCAACTCACAGACTCCCTGAAAGCTCCTATTCAACAATACTTTAACTTTCCCCTTAACACTTACCACTTTCTAATATTCTATATTATTTTCATATTTATTATGTCCATTGTTTACTGTCATTTCCCTACTGAAATAGAAGCTCCATGGGGGCAGCTTCTTTGTCTCATTTATTCTTATAATGGTTCCTGCACATAGTAGGTATCCAGTAAGTATATCGGTGACGTATGAACTGTTGAGTGCAACACCACCCTGGAATCCTGAAGTCTGTGTTAGGTGGGTAATTCTGTGGAAATTATGTCAGACCTGAGTTTCCCATGCGGATGACTCAGGGAGAAAAAGCAAATTGAGCATATGCAGAAAGCAGAAGAGCCCAGGAGACGAAAACCACAAACTACTTGCCCCTCCCAACCTCTTCCACACCCAGTGACAGAAGCAGCAGGAATCTCATGGGTTGGATGTGGGGCCACAGGCATTTGAGGAGAGTCATGGTTAAATCCATGGGTCAGATGCCACAGGCATGTGAGAAGAGTGAGTGTTCAGAAAATTAGAAAGTTATAACTCAGTAGAGTTTCCAAGGCCTTGAGTTTTCAACTGATGTCAGAGAATACAGATATGGATATAGGTATATTTATACGTATGGAGCACCCAGCCGCATTCTCTGTATCTTTCATTCTGTTGTTTCCTCCTCATCCTGATCCAGCATGGAAGAGGCACTCCAAGACAGTAATGAACAGAATTCTACTTATTTTCCCCAGCCTTCCCCCCATACTTCCCCTTTGACAACTCAGCTCTTCTCTATACATGTTTTTGCTTCTCTTTTGTTTTTTGAGATTCCACAATGCAATCACATGGCATTTGTCTTTCTTTCTGACTCATTTCACTTAGGGTAATAGCATCTATGTCCATCTGTGTTGTTGCAAGTTGCAAGATTTTATTCTTTTTTATCACTAAACTAGTGGCTTGGTGCATGAAATTCATGCATGGGGGGGGGGGTCCCGAAGCTCGGCCTGCACCCTCTCCAATCTGGGACCCCTTGGAGGATGTCCCACTGCCGGTTTAGGACAGACATCCCCCTCACAATCCGGGACCACTGGCTCCTAACCGCCAGCCTGAACGCCCCTAACTGCTCCCCTGCTGGCTTGATCGCCCCTAATCATCTCTGCCTTGTCCCCACACCCAGGACCCAGGATTCCCTCCTCCAGCCGGCTGCAGGCCCCCAGGACCAGGGCTTCCCTCCCTCTGGCTGGCCACAGGCACCCGGGACCCAGGCCAGCTTCTCTTGGGCCGTTGCAGCCACAGGAGACGGTGGGCAGGTGGCTTCACCCCGGCTACAGCTGCAGGGTGCCGAGGCCTGCGAGGCAGGTGGCTTCTCTGGCTGGCTACACCCCAGGACTGCAGGGTGGGTGGCTTCTCCATCTCCCAGGCTGCAGCCAGCTGCAGGCACTGGCACCTGGGACCTTGGGGCAGGCAGCTTCTCTATTTCCCAGGCTGTAGCCAGCCTCAGGCGCTGGCTCCTGGGCTGAAGGCGGGTGGCTTCTCCGTCTCCTCCGGGGATGCAGTGCGGGCGGCTTCTCTGGCTGGCTGTGGCTGGCCCAGGACCACAGGGCAGGCAGCTTCTTTATCTCCTGGGCCTCAGCCAGCCTCAGGTGCTGGTGCCCAGACCTCAGGCGGGCGGCTTCTCCGTCTCCCCCAGGACCATGGGGCGGGTGGCTTCTCTGGCTGGCTGCGGCCCGGGACTGTGGGGCGGACAGCTTCTCCATCTCCTGGGCTGCAGCCAGCCGCAGGCGTTGGCACCGGGGACCACTGGACGGCAGCTTCACCCTGCTGGCTTTGTCAGGAAGGTTGTCCGGATGGTCTTCCAGAATACCTCTGGTCTAATTAGCATATTACTCTTTTATTAGTACAGATGATATTTCATTGTATATCTGCACCACATCTTTTTAATCCATTGACTTATTGATGGAAAGTTTTACTCATTTTACCAAGAGAGAAGCTTGCTTATCTTAAGAGTTTGGTGGAGGGTATGGGGTGAGTTTGGAGAAGTAGAAAGGACCGAGGGTGTCTGAAGAAAGAGAGAACTAAACATCTGTACATGTGCATTTCATGTGAACTTAAAAGGATTGAAGAGAACAAAAGGGAAAGGGTTTTCTAAAATTTTGTGTTTCTGTGTGGGGTGTGTGTGTGTGTGTGTGTGTGTGTATGCAGTCCCTCACACCAACTACATGCACACACCCCACACACATAGAAACATGCATCACAAGTATATATAGAAGTGTGGCCTTGCATGACAGGACACAGATTGTTTTGAGGATTGATGAAATTAGACACATATTAAAAGCTCAGTAAAATATTTGGTACATTAGAAACATGCAACGTATAATTATCAAACATTTGCAAGTACAAATAGCGGAAACTGAATAGCTGAGTGTCTCAATAGTAGATGACTATTTTTCAGTTTACTTCTCTGGACTTTTTTATTTTTCTGCTAACAGGCTTTGCTGCCAAGCCAAGCAGCATAATATGGTGAAAAGAATGAACTCTGGCCCTAGCTGGTTTGGTTTAGTGGATAGAGTGTCAGCCTACAGACTGAAGGGTCCCTGGTTTGATTCTGATCAAGGGCACATGCCCGGGTTTCGTGCTCAATCCCCAGTAGGGGTCCTTCAAGAGGCAGAAGATCAATAATTCTCTCTCAACATTGATATTTCTCTCTCTCTCTCCCTATCCCTTCCTCTCTGAAATCAATAAAACTATATTTGAAAATAAAAGAGAAAGAGCTCCGGAAGTGGGTGGCCCAGACTTGAACCTTGGCTGTATTAGATGATGATACAGGCAAGTTACTCTCTCTGTCTCGGATCCCCATCTGCACGTCCAGGGTAACAGTCACAGCTCTCACAGAGGGACGTCTGAGTGTGACACGAGTAAAAACACACAAAGTTGTCTCTATTGCGGTTTGAAGCATCATCTTTTTAAAAAATATATATATTTGTATTGATTTCAGAGAGACAGGGAGAGATAGAAACATCAATGATGAGAGAGAATCATTGATCAGCTGCCTTCTGCACGCCCCACACTGGGGATCGAGGCCGCAACCGGGTATGTGCCCTGACTGGGAATTGAACTATGACCTCCTGGTTCATAGATCGATGCTCAACCACTGAGAAATGCTGGCCAGGCAAGCATCATCTGTTTTGTTGCCTCAGGTAACCAGCTGCTGGTGATGGACCCACAGAGAAACCATTCAGATCCCTAAATTCATGGGCTCAGATAAAGCCCTGTCCTTGGCCTTCTGTGCAGCCCAGGGTGACACACCCATGTTTCCCTGCAGGCCCTGAAATTTCAGGGGCAAAAAGAAGTCCAGGGGCAGGGAGGGAAAATTCTACCCCAAGGAGTGCTCACCTGGGAGGCCCAGCAGTAGAGTCAGCAGCAGGGAGAGAGGAGGGCGGGGCCAGGAGGCAGGGATGGGCATCCTGGAGGCCTGAGGGGCTTGCTGTGTCCAAGTGTGTGCCCGGAGGACCCGGACTCTCTGCTCTGTGAGAGGAGTGAGGCCCCAGCTGTGTGATACAAGAGGAAGCGCCTAGGAAGGGGTGACAAGGCTGTGACACAGTAGCCAGTTTCTGTATTCTAAATAGTTCCTGCTTCTAGATTGTGAAATAACCACTGTCAGGAAAGCAACCTCAGGGTGAGCAGTTACTCATCTTAGTTTTCAGAGGGACTTGGACATGCCTCCAGGGAGTAGTTCTCAGGGCATCTGCTCTCCACTGGTCTCTCAGCCTATCTGAGGTCTTCATGGTGATGACCCTCTTGGGGGCCCAGGACAATACTGGTCTGCGGTGTGGGCTGTGTGCCAAACTCCCAAGCCCAGGATCCTAGGATGTTGCCGGCTTATGGCCTCATCTTCTTCAGCCTCAGCAAGAGCTACTCATTGGAGGAAGGAAGAGGGTTCACCAGAGCCTGGTCAGCGTTGGGATGGAACCAGGTCCTTTTCTGAAAGACCTTCTATTCCAACCATTTACTGATGGGACTGGAAAAACTCCACCCAAACACACAGTGTGGGGTGGACCTCAGAACTGGTATGTGCCTCCTTGCAACAAAGGACGTAATTTCCTCACAACTTTCCGGAAAGCATGTGTATTTTATGACCACATCTATACACCCAGGGGTTTATCTCAGAGAAATGCAACTTATGTCCACACCAAACGCTGTGAGCAAAATAAATCCTAAGAGTCAGAAATCAAGAAGAGCTGCAGGAGCAGTCATGTGAGGTCTGGCAGTAAAATGTAAAATAATCTGTTAGCAGAGCTGAAATGGTTGCCTCTGGGAGGAGGAAAATAGTGGGAGGTGAGGTTTACTCCAGTTTTCATCTGTCGAACTTGTATGACTATTTTCCTCTGAAAACACCTGTATATGTAACCCTGATGAAGGTAAGATCTAATTCTAGATCATTAATGCTGTCCGTGTTGCAAATAAGAAGGCTGCCCACACTGTTAGCAGTAGTAAGTGTTTCATAGGCCTGGGGGATAGGAGTGATGATCACAGTCAATTACCAGGCTACACAGTAGCCACAAGCCCCTGGAAATAGTCATGGTAACTTTTAACGATTTCATGAACGAGGAAATGGTGTGTGATTCAGGGTCCAAATGCATTATAGAATGACAAAAAGTGTTGGGAAGATTTGCCCAAAAGTTGTATAAACTCTGATGATAAAGCTGTCCTAACCAAGACAGGCTAGTTCTGACAGAGATAGGCAAGAAGCTCAAAGCAACAGAGACCTCATGAATAGAACCAGGGTAATATGCAAATTGACCCTAACAGCAGAAAGACTGGGAATGACTGGTCACTATGACACACACTGACCACCAGGGGGCAGACACTCAATGCAGGAGCTGCCCTCTGGCGGTCAGGGTGCTCTCACATGGGAGGAGCTTTGCTCAGCCACAAGCCAGGCTGTTGGCTGCCAGTACAGCGGTGGTGGTGGGAGCCTCTCCTGCCTGCTCAGCAGTGCTAAGGATGTCCGACTGCAGCTTAGGTCTGCTCCCCGCTGGCAAGTGAACATCCCCCGAGGCTGCCGGGCTGCCAGAGGGATGTCTGATTGCCATCTTAGGGCTAATCCCCGGGGGAGCAGGCCTAAGCCAGCAGGTGGTCATCCCCTGAGGGGTCCCAGACTGCGAGAGGGCACAGGCCGGGCTGAGGGACCACCTCCTCCCCCCCAAGTGCACAAATTTTTGTGCACCAGGCCTCTTAGTATGTATGTATATGTGTGTGTGTGTATATATATATGTGTGTGTATATATATATATATATATCTCCAATGCAATAAAATAATAATTCCAATATGTTTTTTTGTGAAACATGACAAAGTCATTCTATATTGGATTTGGACCCTGAATCGCACACCATTTTGAACAACAAAAAGTGTTGGGAAGATTTGCTCAAAAGATGTATAAACACTGATGACAAAGCTGTTCTAACCAAGACAGGCTGTTTCTGACAGAGATAGGCAAGTAGCTCAAAGCAACAGAGAGCTCATGAATAGAACCAGGTATTTATGGAAAGTGGACATATGTCAAAGGTGGCAGTGCAATCACTGAGTGCTGGGTAATTTATCCTTGTGGAGGAAAAAGTCCTCACCACCTACAACACACACACACACACACACATGCACGGGCAATATACCCAGATCAAAGGCAAACTTCGAAAGAGCAAAACTGGATCAAAAGCGGAAAACAGCTTGTGGTAGAACAAAAGCTTCCAGAGGAAACCAGCGCTGCTGATTGTGGACCACAGAGAGGAACAAAAGGGGGCTCCGGTATGTTTCAAGGAAGTAAATGCTGTATAAGAATGCTTGTTGCAAAGTTGCACTAGCTAAACATGAGATAGAGCTTTACTACCATCTTGAGAAGAATCTGTAAATCATAGCATATCTTACAATAGAAAACTGTAGAGCATGGAAAATTAATAAAATTGAGTTACATATGTCAACATTATTAAAACACACAGAACTGTGTTAAGCATACAAATAAAGTTCCAGAATGTTTTATACAGAAAAATAGCATTTCAATAAAATCTAAAAGAGGCGGAGTAATATTAAATAGTGCTTACGGATTTACACACATGTTGTAAAAATGTAAAACCATGAATCAAAATACTGAATTTCAAAGTTTTTTCAAAAGAAACAGAGAACATAATAACTATATCTTAATGTTTTACAAAGAGAGAAGGTAGGTCCATGGATATCATTAATATTCTTTATAAATTTCAAAATAGAAATTGTTTATTCAACTTAGTGATTTCAAATATCTGTTTGTTAAAATAAATTTATACTGGCAGAGCTCTGGGTAAAAGTGAAATCTGCTCCGAATATTAAAAGTTGTTTATGATGAGGGGAGGTGAAATTTGTTCTCATCGTGCTCCTGGTTCTGGTTTGGGTGGAGGCAGGGCCAGTGTGACGCTCGATGCATCAAGGTCCAGACATCCCTGAGTCTCTGTGACCGAAGGCCATCCTGGCCTCAGCTTTATTACCAGAGAGAGGCAACATCAGGAGGGTGTGGGAAGGAGCATGTTCGTGATGGAGGTGGGTTTGACAGAGTGAAGGGCAGGGGCCTTGGATAATCTGCAGGTTTGTGCAGCTTCTTCTTCCTACTTAAGCCCCTCGGAGAGGGCAGGAGGCAATATATCCCATGGCAGGAAAGAGCTGTAGGGAAAGTCATTTATTCATTCATGGAAGCAAAAGGATCATTCATTCCTTCCTGTTTTAATTCCAAAAATATTTTTCTGAGCACATGCCAAGTGGCAGGCACTCTGTTTGGCCTGGGTTCATGCACAGATAAGAAAGGAAGCCCCTACTCACCACACCCCCACACCTCCTTCTGGAATCTGAACTTTCTTCCATTCCCACATTCATCTTCACCACTAGCCTCTCAGATGGGTTCTAGTAGCTGCCTTTGGCAATACTTTCTTATTCATTCCAAAGATGTATCATATGAAAACTGAAATATATAACAGTTTATGGGGGACTCTTTGCAGATTTGGTCTTGAAGCTTTGACCTTCATCCCACCTTGGACCACCATCCTCAGGGTCCCACATAATTTAATTTGAAAACCTTCAAACTCCAGGCACCACACAGTGTGTAAGAGCTGGAAGCTTCTGAGAAAAAAGAGCATTCGGAACCTTCTCTTGAGGCTAAGTCAGGCTGTGGTGACCACGTGACCATGTGGGCACACCCTGGACTCCTCTTGCCAGCCCAGGAGGTTGGCCCTGACATTCCTCCCTAAAAACTGCCTCCAACTCACCTGCTACAGGTCCCGCCACCTGTGGATGTAGGTGACGGTGACACTCATCACCAGCAGCACCTTGAAGCCCAGGAGGAAAGTCACAAAGATAACGGCAGACGTCCCTGGACCTAAGTGGACAGAAGGAGACATCAGCTGGGGCTCTGTGAGTTTAAATACCTTTGTCCTCCCAGGAGCAGAGGTAACCCAGCTGCTCCCAGGAGTGGATGGAGGCGACTTGCGTGCACCCCCAATGAGCTTGTATATGGCGGGGGATGCTGGGGACAGGATGAGGTTGGCCAGATGGGAGGATGTGCTTCCTGCCGCACCAAATAGGCGAGCAGCTGCTCAGACCCCTGCAGTGACACATTCACCAACTGCAAGCTCTCCAGGCTCATGGCTCAGCTCCCTGAAACATGGCAGTGCTCCAGCCAGGTGGATGCACACTTGATGGCTAGAATCTCTGCACATGGCAGGCAATGGCCACCAAGTCCAAGGACGGCGAAGACTGAGACACTGTTACTGCAGTGGGAACTGACACGACCCAGAGAAAGCAGACAATTACTGTGGAAATTCCACTTTGGTAGCCTGGGGACTCCTTGAGGATGCCTCATCTTCCCAAGGACAATCACAGAGGAGGATTTAGATGATGCTTAACAGATGCCTGCATAGGTAAATGCATGATGAATGAGAGTGTGAATGCTTGCTTGAATGGACAGATGGATGGATGCATGGATGGAAGAGTGAATGGGAGCAAAGTCATTGTACTCTTTCATATCTTTTCCAATATTGAATTCTGTTCACAGGCTATGACATGAATCAAACGTGAGGACATTGTGCTAAATGACATAGGTTAGTCACAAAATGACAAATACTGTGTGATATGTATATGAGGTGTCAGAGGAGTCATACTCAGAGAGACTTCCCCTGGAGACTCCAGAAGGGACACAGCCCTGCCAACCCAGTGTAGACTTCTGACCTCTAGAACTGTAAGGTAACATCATTTTCTTGTGTTAAGCCACAAAACGTGTGGGTATAGAGGCAATAGGAATCTAATCCAGGGAGATGGGAAGATTTTTAAAGCACAGATGTAACTAAAGGGACAGGCCTGACTTAAAGTACATAATCTGTTGTGGGGAAAGCAAAACAAACAAACTTACAAAACCCATGCTGTTTCACAATTGAGTGGTAAAAAGAAATAAGAAAAAGGGAGGGGGAAATTTAGGGTCCTGAAAGACAAAGAGAACCAAAAAATGCGAGGAATCATAACCATTCTTCCACTGTCAAAACCAACCAACAAACCCAAAGCTCTGTCCACATACATGGACTATGCTAAACTGACAGAGAGAGGTCAGTTAACCTAGGAATAGTGTAAAACACATAAGTATCATAAGAATGACCAAAATGACCTGCATCCTTACACCAAGCCCATTGGACCAGGCCTGTGGCGACCAGAGACTCAGAAGCCAAGGTAGGGTGTGGCATCCCAGTGCACAGGGTCATGGAGGCCTCTTTCACTTTGCTGCAGCCCCCTAACCTAGACAAGCCAAAGAACCACTGCCAGCCTTAGCACCAGCAGGTGTGCTGGGTCAGGCACGCTGAGAGCACCTGGAGGTGACGGCCCTGGTCTGAGGTCCAGGCGGAGATGGAGACTCAAACCCAAACCCAAGGTGGTCCAGACAAGATGGAGACTCGTCTGCCCTGCTCTCCTTGTTCAGTACAACCTGACCCCTAGACATACCACCAGGTACAAGCAGACAAGGACTCTAACAGGTGGAAGAGGAAGGCACCCTGGCTCAGGACCTGAGGCTGCAGGAAGAACACAGGGGCCAGAAATCATAGGTCACCCTCTCCTAACTCCCCGGCACAGCGGTGACTCCCTATGGCTCTGAAAAAGGAAAAGTGTAAAACCAGTCATCTAAATTCCCCACCTCGATAAAACAGATAAGGGGAGCAGAATCAACCCAAAACACAGAAGGAAGGAATTTATAAGAGGAGAAAAATAAATGAAACAAAAACAGAGAAATAATAGACAAAATCCTTGAAACAAAAAGCAGGTTCTTTACAAAGACCAATACAATTGAAAAACTTTTATCAAGACCTATAAAGAAAAAGAAGAAATGACACATTTCCAAGATCAGAAATAGAACAGAGGCTATTGCTATTGACCCCACAGACATCAGAAGAAGAAGGAAATATTCTGATCAACTCCTCAGGCAGATATTTGTCATTATTGCTGGTTCATTGTTACAAATCTGGGGCCTGTGTTGTGACCACTCACGGTCACTTGGGTGCCCTGTTCAGACTCAAAGTCCATGTGTTCAGGGCTCCCCTGTGGAACTGCACAGAGCAGTAGGTCCAGGCACTGGCTGGGGTGACCTTACTGATGCAGATGGAAACGTCCAGGATGGAATAGACACATGAGGAGGTTAGGAAGGGCCAGGAGGAGGCAGGGGCTGACATGGCCGTGTGAATGCAGTGACTGTCAGGTGAAGAAAGCAAGAGGCAGACACTGTGACCAGGGTGGTCTCCCTCACTTGCTCATTTTTTTTTAAATGTAGATTGTGGTGAAAAGATCCATAAAAGTATGTACCAAACTCTTACCAGTGGTGACTATGCAGTGTGGGGTTTGGGGGAGGGAGCTCACTTCAAAATTCTATTTTCTATTGAATGTACATTTGTAGATTATTCTATAATGAGCATGAATTAGTACTTATAACATTAAAATTAAAGGAAAAATTTAAATAGAACTGAATCAGTTGGAGTGGAGGCCTCTCCCTGGACTTTACCTTTGTCCTTGTCCTGGTGAGCAGAGGCCATCAGGGTGAGGTTTGTGGTGAGTGCCGGCTGCCCATCGTGCTCCACCTGGCAGGTGAGCATCGCATCCTCCCTGTGGGCAGACAGATTCACGAGGAGCCAGCTCCTCCAGCTGAAGGTCCCATCCTGGTTCTCTATGAGGGTCAAGGCCGTTTCTGTTCGGGACTTTTTTCCGTTCTCCAGCCAGGTCAGCTGTAGGCGCCGGGGGTAGAAGTTCTTCACCAGGCAGGTGATGATGTTCTCCTGGTTCCCTGCCATGGGGTGCTGGGTGGCCTCCAAGGTGGGCGGAACTGAAATAGCAAAGGGCAGAAGCTCTGACCTCATGGAACAGACAGATCACAGAGGGGGCTCCAGAACTTAGCTCCCCACCGCGCAGAGGACGGGCTCAGACACGGAGGGTTCTTTCATATGAATGAAATCATTGAGCACTGTAACCTGAACCCAGGAGGCGCTCAAGGACTGTACCTGCTATTAGGGTCATATGATTGAAATCAACCACCACAGCCCCAGGCATGCAGTTAGAACATACTAACTTCAGCAAAATAAATGAAATTACCAAGCACATAAAAGCTTGGCGTATAGTAGGCACACAGTAAATGGAGTTGCTATTGCTAAGGTAGATAAAAGTATCTAGTACACGGCTTAGCATGTAGATTTTTCACCTGCAATTAGACAGGGGTGGGCAATAGGCAGATCCATGTTCCTGGTGAAGAGAAGGACAGTGAGGAATTAGATTCCAGGCAATTCCAGGCCTGGAGCAAATTAGCAGGAGGAGCAGGCTGGGAGGACAGGGGCCAGGAGTGGCTTGGGCTGAGTGTGAGGGGCTCTACCTCGGATGGCCTCAGACACGTTGGCAGTCCCACGAAGAGGAGGGTCCCCCTGTAGGGTGTCGTGGGCCACCTGGCAGATGACCTGGGAGCGAACATCCCCCGGGGCCAGCAGCACCCTGGCTGTGCTGGAGACGTTGTAGGGAGGGCTGTCTCCCTCTGGGTCCACGGTGGTCTGGGAGGCTGGGAGCTCATTCCCATCCTTGAACCATTTCAGGATGATGTTTCTGGGGGAGAAGCCATGGGACTGGCAGGTGAAGCTCACTGTCTGCCCAGGCGGCGACCTGCCTGTGGGGCCCAATACCACAGGGCGAGAGGGTTTGGCTGTAAAAGGAACATAATGAACAATGAACATGACTGTGATTCTCACCACTAACCACAAGCATGTGGCACTGTCATACCTTCTCATATACTGTGTGTTATCCTATTAATGCTGGGGTTGTCATTGTCCTCATCTTACAGAGAAGAACACACATGTCCCCAGAGGTGAACTCTGAGTGAGGGGCAGGGCCGACAAGCAATTCCAGGCCTGCGTTCAAAGTCCACCTTTTTCCCTCCAGATGATTTCCCACAGTCTGGGCCCAGGGACAGAGTTCCTGGTCAGTCTCATTTTTGTGCACTGGCTGTTCATAGCTGGTCTCTAATCCTTACAGACCCATGAATGGAGCGATGATTATCATCCTCATCAAGTGCGGAGACAGGACTTGGGGGAGACAGAGACTTGCCCAGAGCACACAGCTGTGGGATGACAATGCCATGGCTCAGTGAGGGTCTGTTCTTTCAACAGGCTCACCTGAAACATTCTATAAAGGCAGATTGGATTATATCATCAGTATTTGATTAATCAGTGATCTTATTAGTATTATGTTATTCTACACAATTTCTGCAGGTGAGAAGCTGAGGTGCAGCCAAGTTAAGTGGTTCACGACACTGACATAACACCTTGATTTGGGGGTGTAACTCTGTGCTGGGTGATTCAGACAGAGCACCTCAAATCCTTCCCACTCTCCCAAATGGAGTCCATGATCATTGCCGTTTTAGAGACGAGAAAACTAAACTGAGAGAATGAAGGGACTGTGCCCTCGGCCACTGCTGTCCCCAGAGGCATTTCCTGTGGCCTCCCAGGTATTCACGTCCATCAGCAGAGCCAGCGCCCACCTTCAGGAGCCTGACCCTGACCGCCACCTGCTCCAGGGAGGAGTGCCCTCCAGTGCCCAGGCCGGGGCCCTGCAGCAATAAATGGGAGAATGGGCTCCTGACAGTGAGTCTAGACTATGACCTCCTGCTCACTGGGCCGCAGGGCCCTCTAGGAAATGCCCCCTCCTCTCCCTCAGTCTGCAGAGACAGGGATGCTGCCCACGGCGGTGCTGGGGCTCAGCGACCCCTCTGCTCTGTCCAGGCCACTGTGCCAGGCGGCTCCTGCGGCTGCTCAGTGAGGAAAACACCACAAAGAAGGGAAGGCCTCCTGGATGCCTCCATAGGAGAGCCATGTCCTGTAGGAATAGTTTCAGGCCATATCATGGGGCATTTGAGGGTCTGTCTCATCTCAGTTGTAAAGCTGCACCTCCCTCACCTGAGGAACCTTAAAAATTTTTTTTTTCTGAGCAACATAAACATGCATGATTGTAAGAAAAGGGTTGGAGCTTTGTCTACACTTTGACAAGCACCGCGTAGGATTGTGGCGAGCAGGGTCTGTGAGTTATGTTGTTTGGGATTCAAATCTTAGTTCCCCTTCCTGCTCAGTTGAGGTTCCTCTCTGAGCATCAGTGTCCTCATCTAACAAAAGGGCAATGGTGGCCCCTCCCTCCTGCACTGGCTGTGGGAGTAAATGCCACCATGAAGACATGACCCTTGACCTCTCCCAGCTCCTGCTTTCTCAGCCAGGGCATCACCTGGGCAAGTAGCTCAGGAAGGGGAACGAGCTCTCTACCAGGAGGCAGCAGATCTCAGTGGTGATGGAGCCACTGACACCTGTGATGGCCTCGGCAAGGGACACAGTCTGGTATCTTAGCAATACATGTAAATCAGGATAAGCCACCTTCCCTGCCTGTGTCTAGGATTTGTGGGGAGACTCCATTGCTACTAGGTCTAGAAGGGGAATGTGGCAAGGCCCACACAAGTAAAATGCACACACCCTGTGACCTAGCAAAGCCACTTCCATTGGGGGCCTCCCTCTGAGTAGGGTGACCCATGGAGAAGGTTATCCCCTGTGTCACTGTGTGAATAGCACAAGGCTGGGAACAACTCACATCCATCAACAGAAGACAGTGAATGAACGATGCTGTCTCCACAGGCCAGAGTGGAGGCAGCTGTAGAAGGAGGGGCAGCTCTAGGTGCTGATGTGGTTTGTCGATTTGGGGCAATTTGGCTGGAGGTAGGGAGAGGTTCCTCTTCACCTGCGCCTCAAAGTCTGAGTGTGAGGGGCATGTGAACCTCTGGGCATCAGTGAATATAAGAGGTGTCGGTTCCCTGGTAAACAGTGTGCTGTACTGAACTTTAATTCATTGCCTGCATTCACCAGGCTTTTTGATGGATAGAGTGTCTGTGTCTGAAGCAGGAAAAAGTTGCTAAAATCAGATGGGGTTCTGGAACAATCTCCTCACTCTCTGGCCATGTGACCGTGGACAAAGCCCTGTCGCCTTTTGACCTCAGGCGCTGCTCTACTTGGGGAGTCAGGCTGGATGGTGTAAAGTTCCCCACTTGCTCACAGTTTAGCATTCAGGATCCTGGGCCTCTGGTAAAACACCCTCAATGGGAACGGTGTTGCCTCAATGGGACGACCCCTAAGTCTCCCACATGGGGAGCCTCTTCCATGGGTGAGGGACATTCTGAGACGATCCTACTCTGCTTGGAGGCTTCGTTACAGTGACTGGGATTCTGGAATAAAGGGGGTTTCCAGGCAGACCTACAGTGATCGCCCACTTCTGGCATCTCTTCCCAGCGGGGCTGCCAGAGTGAACAGTGAGGCTGGGTCTCTCAGGATTTCCTTCTCCTGTGATGTTTCTGAGGCTGAGATAAAGCAGCACCTTCTCTACTCCCTGCCCTCAGTGAGTTTCTCCCACTGGAGCGAAGAGAATGAGGCTTTGAGGGGAAGAGCCGTTGCCTGCTTTGTTCTGCAGCTGCCTCAGCACCCAGCACAGAGCCTGGCTCACAGCAGGTGCCAGTGGGTGTCACTAAGGAGGAGCCTCAGCCACATTGAGGGGAGCACTCCCCGGAGGTGGGTGAGGTCTGGCCTTGTGATGGGCAAGTCACTCCGACCTTCAGTTCCCTCATCTCTGCAACCAAGGAGCTGGACAGGATTGAAAGGCCAGGGCTGGGGAGCCAGACAAGCAGGGGTTCCAGACTTTTCCCTCCATTGACCAGCTGTAGTGGCTGAGCAAATAGCATGACATCTCCAGGTCTCAGCTTCCCTGATCTGCAGACGGGGTGAAATCAGACCATGAATCAGAGCAGGACTATAAGCACCCACCTCCGCACCTGACTCTTAGTTGTTGCTTAAAGATGGAAGTCGTTCTTACTGACTTGTCACACATGAGGGACAAAGGATTCCCCTGTACTCACCACTCACGCTGAGCTGAGTGCCTGCTCCAGACTTGAACTCCATGTCACTATCACCTCCTCTCCGGAACTTCACACAGTAGTAGGTCCCTGTGTCTGCTGGGGTGAGGTTACTGATGCGGATGGAAAAGTCCAAGTTGTCTCTCCTCGTGGCGTCTGCAACACTTGTTACTCGGGGGAAGTGGCCTCCTTTGAGACTGTAGATTAACTCCCGGCCTGGCCCTGTCCCTCTGAACCACAGGATGGGCCCCACGGGGAGTATGGTGGTCACAGTGCAGCTCATAGTGGCTGTCTCTCCAGCTGGGACAGACACTGACTTCAGAGGCTGAATCACCTGCAGCTCCTCACCTGCCCCTCCTGGAGGGAAGAACAGAGCAGTTATTTATTCACCTTTTCGGAGCCTGTGGGCTCGGTCAGTATTTATCAACAACAGCTTTCATCGACCGAGTGCACACCCTGAATAGGCCTTGAGCCCAGCACTTTGCACGTGTCATACCTGTAACCCTCACAATGAGCTTGTATGTGAGAGCCTATAACAAATGAGGAAACTGAGGCACAGAGAGGTAATTAGATGTGGCAGAGAGTGGGTTTGAGTTTCCCCCATCAAGTAGGTCTGCTTGGTGCCAGCAATGGAGGGGGTGCGCTGGGCCTTTTCCTGCAACACTTGGCTGCCCAGCTGAGCGGAGTGGCTCCTGGAGGTACCACCAGCAGCCCGAGGAGTTGTCTCTGCCAGGGATCTAAGGCAGCCATGCTGGTGGTCTCATGATGAGGATTTTAGTGCAGAGAAATAGAATATCCCTTGGAATAACATGCATTTGCAGGGAACTGCAAAAAGGAAACAAGTTTTTGCAAAAGACTCATCTATTCCTTACCCAGTTTCATCTTTAACTTCTCCTGTTAAAGTGACTGTGCGGTAGTTGCTGCTGAACCTGAGTTACAAGTTGGAATTGAACCAGGTCTTGCTTAAACTTCAGAATGCCTTCTGAGTATGAAAGAAAAGTTTACCAACAAAGAATGGGAAGCAATCAGAAGCTTTAAGGACGAATGGACTTGCCTGCATATGTTCTATGGGCATTGGGCCCTGAAAGAAAGCTTCATAGAAGCCATAGGTGCTGGACTAGGGTTTGAATCGCAATGGCTTGAATGTGATATGTCCCCATTGAACCTGGAGACGGGCCAGGTTTATAAAGAAACACGTTTGTTTCTGGATGGAGAAGGAGGAAAAGAATGGGCGTTTGAGGAGAGCCAAACTGATGAGCATCATCTGTGGCAGTAGCTCCTCGGAAACCCAATGCATCCAGACATCAGGATACTTCATCTCAGGATGATCCCACACCCCCTAGAGGCAGGTCCTGTCCTTCCCTACAGGACTTAAGATCACCTGCTGCTCCTGTGAGCCCTGCACAGCCTTCATGTTGGGACTGTTTTGCTTCACAGAAAAAGTTCTGATGGGAAATGCTACAAAGTCATGATAAGTAAGAAAGGGAAATGAGAACTGTTTGTAATATTTTGTTCTCACTAAAAAATAAATGCCCATTACTATCAAATTTCATTTCATAAAACAGCTTGAAAAACACAGACACAACTTTTCATACTTAGAAAGGGTACTCCCAGTTCAAGAAAGCTTAGTAGAATACAAGTTTACCTTTCTTCCTCCCCAGAATCACTCTGAATTGACAGAGAAATGGAACACGGTGGCGGAATCTGAGCTGATACAGGCATAGTTCATTTATTTCACTTTGCTTTATTGTGCTTCACTTTATTTGCATTTTCAGAGGTGTTGGCGGTTTTACAAATGGAAAGCAAGAAGACCTTCCACCAGGGAAGGCCGGGAGTGGGGTGTGGGAGGGGAATGATTCACCAGGGAACCTGTATGCATTGTGCATAACCATGGACACAGGCAATAGAGTGGTGAGGGCCTGGGATGGGTGGGCATGGGGTGAAGGAGGTCAATGGGGAAACACACACACACACACACACACACAAAGGGGACATCTGTAATACTTTCAACAATAAAGGTAATTCTTTTAAAAAGACCCTCCACCAGCAAAAGGATTATGACTTGTTTTATCACAGAAATCTGGAACTGAGCCCTCAATATCTCTGAGGCAGGCCTTACATGCTTGTTGTAGAAACAAAGGGAAAATGAAAAGATGCCATAAGGAAGATTTAAGTTGTTGTCTTTCAGACACAACTACATCAGAGATAACGATTTCTAAAACATTTTCCTTGGAGAATGAATCCACTTTTTAATAAAATGGGAACATACTATTCTGTAATTCTTTTCTCTGAGCTGCACATCCGGTGTTAATGAATAATTTGTGGCATAACTTTCACTGGCTCTAAAGTGCTCTGTTGGTGGCTAATGTCAGGTAGGATGCTTGGAGCAGAGGTAAGTGTGCCAACAGCTGAGGGAAGTAACCAAGGCATTAATGGTCTCACCCAGCACCCAGCTCAGAGGTGTCACTGAGGACACGTTCTTGCCTCAGCCTCAGTTTGTTTTGCCTCAGGCCTGTCTCATGGTCAGGAAGCTGCTGCTGTAACTGTCAGCTTCCCATCTTCCCAGAATTGCATCTAAGAGTCAGGACAGGCCATGTCTCCTCTCACATCTCAGATTTGTCAGGGAGGAGAGCAATTCCCACAGCCAGGGCCAATCGCTGCCCAGCCCAGGGGAGGAGCCTGCTGCCACCGCCAATCCCTGCCCAGCCCAGGAGGGGAAGAGCCTCTCTTTCTCTCCTTGGTGAGGCTTACTAGGTCCTTTCTCCAGCGGGAGGCCTGGCTGATCGCCTGCAACCCACGCAGCGCCCTGGTGCTGGGGCGCCTGGAGGGCTGGGGAGCCCGCGCTGTCACAGCGGGTCGTGGCGAGACACACACACAGGTGCACACGCTCTCTGCCTCCGCGCACAGTCACTGAGTGTGGTGATCTCACACCCTGGCCCGGGAGTATTTTTCCGGAGACAGACCTAGCAGCAGTTGGCTTTAGGGGCCCCCATGTTAGTAATTTACAGGGAAAAGGAGGAATTTTTTGTAGAAATCCCGCTTGCTCTGTCCTTGTTAAGGAGGGGCTGGCAGAGGCCTTTGTCCTCTGGTCATGCAGGGCTCTCTTGTCCCATCCGGGCCAAGCAGATCTTTCTGGATGCCCCCTACTCCTGCATTTTTTCTTTAAAGATGGGAGGTCGCTTAATATCTGAGTGAGTCAGATGTGAGTGGCTTAAAGGGCAGACTAGAGAATTCTATAAGTACGCATTGCAAATTAACATGTGAGGTGCCTTATTTGCAATTCTGTTGGATATTGTAGAGACTCCTATATTTCTATCTGACAGGGATGATTTCCAGGGGAGGCGAATTTTGGTTAGTTTACAGACGACTCTGCCTCCTGACTTTGGTGAAATATATCAAAGTCTCCTACTAGTCGTTCAAAGACTATCTTCCCTGCTAGGATCTTGGGTTCAAAGGCATTTTATGAATTACCTCCTGTTTAGCACCTAAAACTCAAAGCCTCATCTGTTTTGTTGCCTCAGGTAACAGGTGCTGGCAATGGACCCACAGAGAAACCACTCAGATCCCTGACTTCATGAGCTCACATAAAGCCCTGTCCTTGGCCTTCTGTGCAGCCCTGGGTGACACACCCATGTTTTCCTGGAGGCCCTGAAATTTCAGGGGCAAAAAGAAATCCAGGGGCAGGGAGGGAAAATTCTACCCCAAGGAGTGCTCACCTGGAAGGCCCAGCAGTAGAGTCAGCAGCAGGCAAGGAGGAGGGTAGGGCCAGGAGGCAGGGATGGGCATCCTGGAGGCCTGAGGGGCCTGCTGTGTCCAAGTGTGTGCCCGGAGGACCCGGACTCTCTGCTCTGTGAGAGGAGTGAGGCCCCAGCTGTGTGGTATAAGAGGAAGCGCCTAGGAAGGGGTGCAAGGCTGTGACACAGTAGCCAGCCTCTATATTCTAAATAGTTCCTGCCTCTATATTCTAAGTAGTTCCTGATTGTGAAATAATCAGTCAGGGAAGCAACCTCGGGGTGAGCAGTTACTTATCTTAGTTTTCAGAGGGACTTGGTCAGGCCTCCAGGCAGTAGTGCTCACCCCACCCCTTCCTGGGGCCTCTGCTCTCCACTGGCCCCTCAGCTCACCTGAGGTCTGCATGGTGATGCCCCCCCTTGGGGGCCAAGGACAGAAGGGTGTGCGGTGTGGGCTGTGTGCCACACTTCCCAGCCCAGGACCCTAGGATGTTGCCGGCTTATGGCCTCATCTCCTTCAGCCTCAGCAAGAGCTACTCATTGGAGGAAGGAAAGGGGTTCACCAGAACCTGGGCAGTGTTGGGATGGAACCAGGTCCTCGTCTGAAAGACCTTCTATTCCAACCACTTACTGATGGGATTGGAAAAACTCCACCCAAACGCACAGTGTGGGGGGGACCTCAGAACTGGTATGTGCCTCCTTGCAACAAAAGACATAATATCTTCACATCTTTCCGGAAAGCACATATATTATATGACCACATTTATACACCCAGGGGATTATCTCAGAGAAATGCAACTTATGTCCATACCAAACGCTGTGAGCGAAATAAATCCTACTTTAAGGATTTTCTCTTTTAGCAACTTTCAAATATACAAACTAGTATTGCTAACTGTAGTCACCATGTTGAATATTATATCCTCAAAATGTATTTATCTTATAACTAGAAGCTTGTTTATATGACCACCTTGACCTATTCCCCCACCGAATGTGCAGCCTTTCACAACCACCATACTTTTCTCTGTGTCTATTAGTTTCCCCCCAGCCCCCAGGTTCCACAAATAACTGAAATCATACAGTATTTGTCTTTCTCTGCCTGACTCATCACATTGCATAATGCCCTGAAATCCCATTTATGTTGTGCAAATGGCAACATTTCCTTCTTCCATATATACATTTTCTTTATGCATTCACCCGCTGATGGGCACTTACATTACTTGCTTGACTTGTATATTGTAAATAATGGGGCGATGAACATGGGGTTGCAGACTCCTCTTCATGGTAGTGATTTCATTTTCTTTGGATGTAGACCTGGGGGTGGAAGGGCTGGGTCATATGAAGGTTCTATTAATTTTTTGAAGCCCCTCTATACTGTTTTCCATGGTGGCTGCACCAAACTTCTAATTGAATTAATTTCATGTCCTTTTTCTTTTTTTTAAGTTTCTGTACCCTCTTTTCTGCTTTATCTAATCTGCTATTGAACCCTTCTATTGAATTCCCCAGTGCAGTGATTGTATCCTTCACCTTTGTGATTTCTGTTTAGTACTTTCTCATATTTTTTAAAAAACAAATTCTATTATTCATAGTATTACAGATATCTCCTATTTCCCCTTCTTTACTTCCCCTCCCCCAGAGCTTAGCACCCACCCTCAGGTCTTCATTACCCTACTGCCTGGGGGCCATGCATGTAACTATATAAGTTCTTTGGTTTTCATATTTTGTATCTCTTTGTTGAAATTCTCACATTGTGCAGCCTTGTTCTCATGGACAGGTGAGCATCGTTATGTGCATTTATAAAACTACCAGGTAAATCATTAAGGTGCATTTTGGGAGTTTTATTTTATGCTTTGGGGTGGTGTTTGGTTCACGTTCCTCCATGTCCTCGTGGTCCTTGACTCTCTGTGTTGGTTTCTGTGCGTGAGATAAAAGAGGCACCTTTTCCCATCTTGGTGGCTTGCTCTGTTGCAGAAGATAAACGTTGTCACTGAGCCCTGTTCTAGCACTCGGCAGTCTCTCCCAACTTTGTGATTATCCAAACTGCCTTCTTTGTTCTCTGTTGCTCCGAATACCTGAGGCGCCATTTCAGTGTCCGGAGGGGAGGCAGGCACATGGGAAGCTGGATCCTCAGGCAGCAGCGGTTAAGTATGAATGTAGACCTCTATCAGGAAAGGCTGGGAGGTGGGAGCTAAGGCTCTTGGGAAGAGCCAGGGAAGAACTGGCTTTTTGTTTTCTACGATCCCGTGGGCCCCACTAACACAAGCCCCACTGGCCGCCAGAGCCAGGCGCTCAAGGGGAGCGTCCCCTGAGCAGCAGCCGCAAGTCAGGGCTCTCACCCTGTGCACAAGCTGCTCTCAGGGAGGCACCAGCCACCTGGGGCCACAGAGGGAGCATGTGGACCTGACGCCCTCTCAGCTCCCTGGCTCTGGAGAGGATGGTGGGCCCCTGACGTGTGTTACATGAGAAGCTGACCCTCTGCTGTAGCCTTTATGAGAAGCAAATAGGCCTCTTTCAGGGAAAGACAGGGCGCTGGGCATTTCTCTCTGCTGCCTCGTGGTGAGACCTGGGGGGTTAGTGACAGGGAGTCCTCACAGGCCACTGAGAACGGCTGCTTTGCTGTCATCCTTGGACCTTGTGGACTCAAGTCCTGTCGGCTCTCAGACATACTTTATTTGGAGGCTCATCCCTCATGGGGAAGTTTACAATTTGGGGTGCTCAATGTTGGGTCCGAATCCCACTCCTCAAGGAGAAGCTGAGAGGTGTGGGTCGCCCCTGATTATATGTCACCGTGCGGGGTATGGAGTTATGGAGAGATTGTGTCAGGTAACAGCCTGAGGTTGTGGCTCATCTTCTTTTATTTGATTTAGGTGTGTTTTTGGTGTGTTTTTCCAAGGTCTGGGAGTTGCTCATCTGGTTTCTGGGTTTCTTTCTCAGGGAATTGTTGCGTTAGTAGCTGCAGTTTCAGTAAGTTTGTGCGCAAAGGTGAGGTCACGTGCCTCCTAAGTCATCATCTTGAACCAAAGAGGTTTTTTAAAAATATTTTTTATTGATTTTTTACAGAGAGGAAGGGAGAGGGATAGAGAGTTAGAAACATCGATGCGAGAGAAACATCGATCAGCTGCCTCCTGCACACCCCCCACTGGGGATGTGCCCGCAACCTAGGTACATGCCCTTGACCGGAATCGAACCTGGGACTCTTGAGTCCGCAGGCCGACACTCTATCCACTGAGCTAAACTGGTCAGGGCAAAAGTGGTTTTGCTTTAAAGAAAAAGAACCTATTTCCTCAGGTCATGATGTAGCCCACACAGTCAGTGAGTTTGATGCCCAACGCTCACAGAGAAGCCAAGTCTTAGGCAAGAGGGTTTCATAGAGAAAAGATATATTCGTCCAGCTGCCAAACCAGGAGACAGAAACGGGGCTCAGATCCCTCTCCTCCAACTCCCTGGACTACAGACTCAGAACAAATTTAAGGGGAAGGAGAAAGTATACATATGTGTTCATTCTTATCAGGAGTCTTGATAGGACAGTGTTGAAACTAGTCGCATAAGTTAAGGAATGAGAAAAGTGAGAGAAGGTATAAGGCATTCCTAGAGGGTGGGGTCAGATTGGGTGAGATGTAGGTGCCCAGCCAAGAGCAAATTCTGAGCCCCCTCCATCTACGCACAGGTTCTGGCAAAGGGCAAATGTTGATTTCGGCCATCCATCGGGTTCGTGGAGTCATTAGTAGGCTTTCTACACTTTTTCATGGCTCTGGGACCAGTCTGACTCAGTGGTCCATAGGCACTGTGGGGGGGTCTTGCTGTTCTCTTCTGAAAACAACAACAGCAACAACTGTTAGGTGTGGTTTAGTATTACGGATTGTTTTTCATTACATTAGGGTTTGTCCCAGTTTCTGTCTATGCTAGCAAGCGTGTGCCCAACTCAAAAGCAAATGTGGATCTTGCTTCTTCCAATAGATTAGTGGATGCAGGTGCCAGACTAAAAGTCGGGTAATTTTCCCCAGAAAAGTCTGAGAACATGTTCAGGCAGCCAGGCCTCTGGAAAGGCTTTGGATGTGATTACTTCACCATGCTGGAAAACACAGAGGGTGCAAGTTCCTCAATGAGCAAAGGAAGAAAGCGTCTGTATCACACACAGTCTTGTTCCAGACCCTGTGTGCGCTCATAGACGGCTCTCTCCTCTCAAGCCCCAGTTATTTGGGGTAGCATGATTCCCATCTTACAGGGGAGGAAACTGGCTCAGAGAGTGTTAATGAGTTGTTCAAGCTCACGTAGCTGGTATGTGTTTCCCAGTGTCTGAACCCACATTTCTATGCCTATAAGACCTTAGAGGGAACTTCTCCACTGCGATTTGTCTAAAGGACTTTGAGTACATCTCACTCAGTGTCTGGTGTATCATAGGATTGTGTGGTTTTAATGGGTCGTCTGGTCCAGAGATTCTACACTTAGTCATTCCAGGTAAAAACTTTTTTGAAAAACAAATATATACTATATTTATCAAGAAAAATAATTTTCAGCCCTGGCCAGTGTGTCTCAGTGGTTAGAGTGTCGGCCAGAGCACCGAAGGGTCTCAGGTTCTATTTCTGGTCAAAGGCATATACCTGGGTTTCAGGTTCAATCCTTGACCCTGAGTAGGGCTTGAGGCAACTAATCAATCCCTTTCTCTCTTTCTCCCTCTCTCCCTACTCCCTTTCTGCCTCCCGTCTTCCCTTTCACTCTCTCTTAAAAAAATAATGGAAAAAATATCCTCTGGTGAGGATTAACAAAAACAACAAAAAATAATAATGTTCGAATCACCTATCAGTGAATGTAAATGCCATTCCACAGGAGAAAGGGCATTTTAATACCAAGAAAACAGAAAGATAATAATTAACTTCTTTATTTATTCAAGATATATTCATTGGGTATATATTACAAAAATTACTTACCATCTCTATAAATAATCCTAAACCATGATAATTGGAATTCTGAGTGTGTGTACGTGTGTGTGTTTGAGAGGAACTTTTTTTTACAATACGTGAAAAAAAAAACCTTACTGAGAAAATCTACCGAGACAGGCATGAAGAGTGAGAG